ATCTGTCTCTGCTTGTACCATGAGCTCTTCCAGGGCATAGGTCCTATCTTGGGAGGTAGAATAAATAACGGCTCCAGAGACAGAAAGATATGGGTTCAAATCCTATCTCTGCTACTTAGCATCCTGTATGACCTTGGACTAGTCACCAACCTTTCTGTGTATCAGAAAGGTTTCTTGGTAAAATGAGGGTAATAATAGCAGAGTGCCTACCTAATGGGTGCTGTAAAAAATCAGTTGCTGTTGAGTTGATTCCGGCTCATGGTGACCCCATGTGTGTCAGAGTAGAACTGTGCTCCATAGGGTTTTCAATGGCTAATTTTTCAGAAGTAGATCACTAGGCTTTTTCTTCCCAGATGCCTCTGGGTGGACTTGAACCTCCAAACTTTTGGTTAGTAGTCTAGCACATTAACCATTTGCATCACCCAGGAGCTCCAATGGGTGCTTTAATGAGGATTAAATGAACTAATCTGTGCAAAACACTTAGTATAGTACCTGGAATAACATAGTTAACCTATGTAGTACACAACTGCATAGCTTTGCAGTTTATTATTATTATATCTCTGTGAGCAGAGTGTAAGCACTGTGACTGGCATAAATCCTTGTTGGATTAATGAATTATTAGGATACAGGTGAGGCTGTTGTAAAAAAAAGAAAGTAAAAAAGGTAGTGGTTTAAGTGAGATACGAATATATTTCTCATGTAACAGCCTGAGCATATACAGTCCAAAGTTGATATGATATCTCTACAGTGTCTGTTACCCACACTCCTGCTATTTTGTTTGGGATACCTAGAGTGTTGTCCTGGTCCACATGGTTGAAGATAGCTAGCCACCATATCTGTTGTGTTTGCATTCTGGTCAATAAATGAGAAAAAGGGGATAGAGGAAAGTTTAAAAACAAAATCTGCAAGTTGCACACATCACTTCTGTTTATGTTTCCCTGACCAAAAGATAGTCACGTGGTTGCACCCCGGTGCAAGGGAGGTTAGGAAACCTAGATCATTCTGGGTAGCCCAGCAAACATTTGAGTGTCTCAAGGAAGAAGGGGAGAATGAATATTCAGGGATAGTCAACAGTTTCTGCCATAATTTGTTTCCTTTGTTACGCTTTCTGTGTTTTCTAAACTTTCTCTCAGGGATTGCTTCTGAAATTGAAAACAATTCGATCATAGAAAAAATAGGTATAATACTATAACAGAGTCAATAAAAAGGTATACAGTTTCAGAGGATAAGAGGTATTTAGAACCAATGATCTGGATGAGGAAGACATAAGAGATATGTTCAAAGAATCCAGTATAACTGACTGGGCAGGGAGTTACCCAGTGAAATTAGGAATATTAAAGGGCAGGAGTTTGAAGGAGGAACACATAAAAAAGTAAAGCATAAGAGAGGGCCAAAGACATATAAAGGGAGATTCAGAAAGTTTACAGCACACAATACACTGAGGTTTAATAACAAGAGGGGATTTCATTTTTCAGTTTTGGGGAGTTTATTTTTAACGGTCAATATTAAAAAACTCGAAGAAAAAGGAAGACATAATCCTATTGCTTGAGGCCATATGGTATAATGTAATCAGACAACTGAAAGAAAGCAAAAATACCCAGTGCCTATTTTGCTTGTATTTTCTCTATCAAAGAAAACGATCTTCAAGCTGTAAATAAAAAGGAAATTAAAGGCAAAGATAGACACAGTGATAGTAAGAAAGAACTCAGTTGCCTTCAATAGGTTAAAAATCTTCAAACCCAAACAACAAAAAGGCAAACAACCAGACCAAAAAATGAGCAAAGGACTTGAACAGACATTTCACAGAGAGGATATACAAATGACCAAAAGCACATGAAAAGTTGCTTAATGTCATTTGACTTTTTTTTTTAAAAAAAGAACAAAACATTGCTGTCAAGTCGATTCTGACTCATAGCGACCCTATAGGACTTAGGGTTTCCAAGAAGCGGCTGGTGGATTCGAACTGCCAACCTTTTGGTTAGCAGCTGAGCTCTTTACCACTGTGCCACCAGGACTGCCATTCGACATTAGGAGGGTGCAAATGAAAGCTATGATGAGATACAACCTCACCCTCGCTAGAATGGTTACAATTTTTTTTTTTTTAATGGAAAATAACAAGTGTTGGCAGGAGGAAGAATGTGGAGAAATCGGAACCCTCATCCATTACTGGTGGGAATGCAAAATAGCACAGCTGCTGTGGAATACTGTTTGGCAGTTTCTCAAAAATAATGTGTCTCAGTGTGGTTCTCTTTGGGTTTATCCTATTTGGAGTTTATTGAGCTTCTTGGATGTGTAGATTCATATCTTTCACAAAATTTGTGAATTTTTCAGCCATTATTTCTTCAAATATTCTTTCTGCCCCTTTCCCTCTCATCTTCTTCTGGGACCAGGGCTTCGAACCAGTTCATTCCACTCTGAACCCCAACTGAGAACTTGCATTTCCACCCCAAATATACTGAATCAGAATTTACAGTTTAACAAGATCTTCAGGTGATTCTTATATATACCTGGGGATCTTGTTAAAATGTAGATTCTGATTGAGTATATCTGCGGTGGAAATGCAAGTTCTCAACAGGGGTTCGAACGGGAATGAATTCATTCAAGGCCCTGTCTGGGACTTCCATAATGTGTATACTGGTCCACTTGATGATGCCCCACAATTCCCTTAGGCTCTGTTCACTTTTCTTCACTCTTTTTATTCCTCAGACTCAATAATCTCAATTGCCCTATCTTCCAGTTTGTTGATTATTTCTTCTGCCAGTTCAAATCTGCTGTTGAGTTCCTTTGGTGAATTTTTCATTTCTATTATTGTACTTTTCAGCTCCAGTATTTGTTTGAGTCTTTATTAAAATTCTCATTTGTCTCTGTATTTTTTCCCTGATTTCCTTTAGTTCTTTGCCCATGTTTTCATTTTGCTCTTTGAGCATATTTAGTACAGGTGTTTTAATGTCTTCGTCTAGTAAGTCTTATACGTCCTTCCTCAGGGACAGTTTCTGCCACTTTATTTTAGTCTTTTGCATGGACCATCCCTTACTATTTCTTCATTTGCCTTCTTATTTTTTGTTGAAACCAGGACATTAAACTATTATACTGTGGTAACTCTGGAAATCAGCTTCTTCCCCTCCCCTATGGTTTGCTTTTCTTTTGTTGTTATTATTTTAATTGTTGAAGCCTGAAGTACACTCCAACAACAGGTCCCTGCCTGGGTGCACTGTCTGCTGTAGCAACCCTTAGATGATTACAGTGCACCGGAAAGGGAATGAGGCATGGATATGTGTAGAACCAATCCTTTCCTATCATTTATATGTTGCCGTTTTCTTGATTCAGTGTTTTCTATATGCTGTAACCCTTTGACTGGTTTCCAGAGTTCTGAGACCATTTATTCTATCAATTTCTGCTTGGTTTTTTTTGTTTGTTTGTTTTGGTTTGGCTGTCAGGAGATGGGAGCATGCCACTGCTTACACCACTCTCTCTCTCTGTTCTCTAAGCCCATTTACTACCTTTTAACAAACATATCATTTATTTTGTTTATGGTTCTTTCTCCATCCTCTATAAGTTCCATGAGGTCATTTTTGTTCTTTTTGTTGTTGTTGTTCACTGATGCATCCCCAGTGCTTAGAACAGTGCTCATTACATAATAGATGCTCAATATTTAATAAATGTTAAATTAGTGAAATGCAGTTATTCAAATCAATAAATAGTTTTTGTTTCTGTTTCACTAGGACTCTTCTCACATTCTGATCATTCAGCATGTTTTCAGTTTCAAAGTAGTCAGCAACTGCTGCAATGTTAGCGGAACAATTTTCATTCTGTAATAGTAGCAAAAGGAGGCCTGGTGGTGGAACATTAAGAGCTCAGCTGCTAACTGGAAGATGGGCATTTCAAACCCACCCAGTAGCTCCACAGGAGAAAGACCTGGCAATCTGCTTCAGTAGAGATTACGCCTGCCATGGAGTCTGTTCTGACTCATAGGACCCCCACAGGGTTTCCAAGGCTGTAAATCTTTATGGAAGCAGACTGCCACATCTTTTTCCTTTGGAGCAGCTGTTGAGTTCAAACCTCCAAATTTTGGTTAGCAGCTGAGTGCTTTAACCACTGCACCACCAGGGCTCCTTTCTGTAAAGATTACAGCCTAGAATAGGAAACCCTATGGGGCATTTATACACTGTCATATTAGGTTGCTATGACTTGAAAATCAACTCCACCGCACCTAACAACAACACAATAGTAAACTTGTTGCCATCCGACTCATAGCGACCCTATAGGACAGAAGCAGAACTGCCCCATAGGGTTTGCAAGGAGTGGCTGGTGGATTTGAATTGCCCACCTTTTGGTTAGCATCTGAAGCTCTCAACCACTACGCCACCAGGGCTCTCAGCACAATAGTAGTCAACATTTATCGAGCATTTACTATGTTCAGGCATGGTTCTAAGGTGTAATAATAATAGTAGTTTAGAATCTTAGGTATTATTATTATAGTTATTTTCTAGATGAGGACATTAAGTCCCAGAGAGGTGAAGTACTTTGCTCCAGATCATATAAGTGGGATATGGCAGAGCTGGGTACAAAGCCTGTGTTCTTAGCTATCGCACTCTACTGGGTAGCTTTTAGCTCGGTCCTGTTTTCTTTCTTTTTTTTTTTTTTGGTAACTAACTTGTTTTGTTAAGCCATCAGTAAAAAGCTGTTGTGGCTGTAAGTCAAAACCTGTCAAACACCAAGAGCTTTTTCTCCCCAGTCAAGGACTCCGCATTTTGCATTTGAATTCTAGTTGGCGGGAATAAGCAGCCAGGTGTGGGGAGGGGCGGGGAGGAGACGCGAGGCCCGCTCCAGCCAATCAGAGCGGGCAGAAACCTCCCTTCCCCCGACGTCCACGCGCCAAAATTCCAAACGGACTTCGCACCGCTCCTCGCCGTCTCCCTCCGCCGAGTTCAGCAAGCCGGGACTATATAAGAAAAAGAGGTCAGCGTTCTCCCTCCACTGTCGGCTAAAGTCCTCGATACCGTCGGTGCATGTTCCCTTCAACTTCGGCCAGGCCCCCTTCGTTCTATATACTGGAAGAAAGAAAAGGGTGGGTGTCCCTGGCGAGACCGCGATTCTAGGCTAGGGTGGCGGCGTGGGCGGGCCAGGCGGCGGAGGGATTTCGGGCGAGCGCGCCGCGGCTGCTGGCGCGGAGCTTGTGGCGCCAGAATTCGGAGCGCGGAAGAGCCGGAGCAGCTGCCGCTTGATCGTGGGCCCGTCTCCTGTCTCGGTCGTCCGGAGAAGAGGCAGAGAAGATGGTGGTCCTCCGCAGCAGCTTGGAGCTGCACAGCCACTCCGCAGCCTCGGCCAGGGACCCTCTGGACCTGTCCAGCGAGTTCCTCAGTCTGGAGCAGATCGGTCGGAGGCGGCTGCGCTCGGCCGGCGCCGCTGAGAAATCCGCCGTCACCGCGACAGCCGCGGGCGTGAGTACCGGCCTGGGGCGGGCCCCTCAGGCAGTGCCTTTGGGGACTGCCTGCAGCCCCGCACCGGATGGGGCCTAAGTGATAGGCGGCGGCGCAGAACGGGTGACAGTTGGGGGGCGGAGGGAGGGAAGGAGTGTGTTCCAAGAAAAGTAAAATAAAAGGCTACTTATGATCGGAGCCCTAAGGGGCGTGGGTCAGGTCCAAGAGATTGAGCTGGCTGGAAGAGGGCTAAGCAGTTCTTTCCCACCTCCTTTTACGGAAGAGGAAACCGACGCCCGCCGGAGCTGAAGTGTAGTTGGGGACCGATCCTTGGTTATTTGGGCCGCTTCCTTCACGTCTGCTCCCCAGTCGCTCGGGCTCTTGCCCTAGGTTTGCGTCAGTCAGTTGAAAACAACACACGTTTACTGTTGTTGTGTGCACTAGAGTGGGCTGCGACTCATGGCGACCCTATAGGACAGAGTAGAACTGCCCCACAGGGTTTTCTAGGCTGTGATCTTTGCGGGAGCAGATCGCCAGGTCTTTCTCCCGCAGAGCCACAAGTAGGTTTGAACCCCGACCTTTCCGTTAGCAGCCGAGCGCTTAACCATTGCGCCACCAGGGCTCCCAACTCGCTGCTTACTGTATGCATCATAAACGTTTTAGGGGCTGCGTGGATAGAAAGATTGTAATTCAGGTTCCCTGACCTCCATTTACGATCCAGCCGGGTTCGGTAATCAGAGCTCCGTGAATAATACCCGGTTGCGTAATGTGGAGAGATGGAGATCAACGTTTCCTGTACGCTCTCTATAGTTAAGCCAGGTAACAACCCTAGGAGAATAGACAGTTATGGTATCTATTTTACCGAGGCAGATACGGACTCAAAGGTAACCAGTAAGTGGTAGATCTAAAATTGGAACCCAGATTCCCTGCCTCCAAAATCTTTTCCTTTCTATCTATCGTGCTGCAGTTACAAACAGTGTCTATAGGGGAAGTGTGCAAGTAGGTGGAGCAGTGAGGTCCTCCTGAAAGCAGTGCTCCGCTTTCTAGGACTGAAGGACAGACAGGATTTTTAACTGGCAGAGTTAAGGGTGAGGAAGAGTCCCTTTCCCCACCCCCTCCCAGCTGCTGAAAGAGGCAGAGGTGGAGGGGACACCGTCAGCGAAAGGTTAGCAAGGTTAAGAAAGCAGCATTGGTGAAAGTTAGCACAGCAGGGGGTAGGCTAGTTCTGCTGGAGTTAGGGCAAGCAGGACCAGAGGGAGGGCTAGGAACTCGAAGTCAGTGAGAGGTCAAGGGAAGGTATATATGGTGGGAAAAAGTGACAAAGCATAGTCGTCTTTTTTAGTTCAGGGAGTGATGGCTACATGAAATTAGTTGTCAGTATCTTTTGTGGATGCTTTATACTGGTTGCTTCTCTACTGAGAGGTTTGAGTTAAAAGAGAAACTTTGTAGTCCCTTAACCCTGCTACTTTGATTCTTAATGGAAAAGACATAATTTCCTGACTTTGAGGATTTGTTTCTCAATCACAAGTGCAGGAGTTGGCAGACATCTGGGAAAACCAAACACTTATTCCCTTGACTTGTTAACCTGTTTTCAGAAAAGCTGATTATTTCAACAAGTTATTTATGGACTACTTACTGTGTTTAGGATAATGCTAGATCTTGTAATTACAATGATGTGCTGAACACTGGTTAAGTATATAGGCTCTTCAGATAACTGAGTTTTGAATCCCAGTTTACCGGTAATCAGCAGTTTTTTACACTTGTTAAATGGCGGTGATACCCACCACATGGGTTGTTGTGTGCTGCCTTGTTGATTCCAACTCATAGCAACCCTAGAAGGACAGAGTAGAACTGCCTTATAGGATTTCCTAGGCTTAATGTTTACAGGAGCAGATCACCAGGTGTTTTCTCCCACAGAGCTGCTGGTGGGAGAATCTGACCACTTCTCAAGTCCTCCTTTCTTGCTATGCTGGTTCAAGCCATTATCTCTTGCCTGGATTATTAAAGTAGATTTTTGACTGGCCTCCCTGGTGTGTATGTATGTATATGTGTGTGTATCTCTATCAGGAGCAAATTATCCAGTAAGCAAGGACTTGTGCTTAGTAATTTGTAGTGTACAATTTCACATGGGTTTCACTTTGATGTGGTGTGGTGAAACCCATGTGAAATTGCTCACTACAGATTTAGTAAGTAAGCACAAACCCACGCTTACCTTGCTTATTGGATAATCTGCCCGATCTCTGTATGCATATATATCCTGCTCTAAGAATCAGTTCTCAGTGCAGCTCACAGTGATCCGTTTAAAAAGTCAAAATATTCGATCACTTCTCTGTGGCCCCCTGAGAGTAACAATTTAAAAACTTGTCTGTGCCCCTTGCCCTCCTTCCCTTTATCTCTCTCATGACATCCTTTTTTATTCTTCCTTTTGCAAAACCTACTCTGCTCTAGCCACACTGGCCTAGCTCTTTGAATACCAGGGCCTTTGCACTTGCTATTCCCTTTGCCTGGAATACTCTCCCCCTGGAAATCTGCCTGGCTGGTTTCTTTACCTCCTTTTACGGCATTTATATGTATATATATATACTTATATATATATATATATTTTTTTTAATTAAAAAACAACAAAAACACTCAGAACTTGATAGTGTTTACTGTGTTCCAAGAACTTTACAAATACTCAGTCTCCATAACCTTATGAGATATGATTATCCTTGTTTTACAGATGAGAAAATTGAGTCACAGAGACTTAAATAAGTTGCCTAAAACCACCTGTATAGTAAGTGGTAGACCTGAGATTCAAATCAAGGAATCTGGCTCCTTCAAGTCTTTGGTAAAATTTCATCTTTTCAATGATGCTTACCCTAAGCACCCTACTTAAAATTAGAAACCACTCCTCTTGACATTCTTAATACCCTTTACTTTGTTTTATGCTCTCCTACTACTTATCACCTTCTAACATATTCTATAATTTTCTAATTTATTATATTTTTGTTGTTGTTGTTAGGTGCTGTCAAATCAGTTCTGACTCATAGCGACCCTGTGTGCAATAGGACGAAACAGTGTCTGTTCCTGCACCATCCTCAGAATCGTTGTGCTTGATTGAGCCCATTCTTGTAGCCACTGTGTCAATCCATCTCATTGAGAGTCTTCCTCTTTTTTGCTGACCCCCTACTTTACCAAGTATAATGTCTTTCAGGGACCGGTCCCTCCTGATAACATGTCCAAAGTACAGGAGATGAAGTGTTGCCATCCTTGCTTCTATGCATTCTGGCTGTACTTCTTCCAAGACAGATTTGTTCATGGTATATTCAGTATTCTTCTCCAACACCATAATTCAAAGGCATCGATTCTTCTTTGGTCTTCCTTATTCATTGTCCAGCTTTCACATGCATACAAGATGATTGAAAACACCATGGCTTAGGTCAGACACACCTTAGTCCTCAAAGTGACATATTTGCTCTTTAACCCTTTAAAGAGGTATTTTGCAGATTTGCGCAATGCAATACGTCATTTGATTTCTTGACTGCTGCTCCCATAAGCATTGACTGTGGATTTAAGTAAAATGAAAATTATATTTTTGTATCTCCCCAGATCAGAATGTAACTCCATAGGGGCTTAGATTTTGCCTTTTTGTTTGGTAATGTATTACCAATGCCTAGATCACAATAAATATTTTTTGTTGTCTTTTTGATCTAAAGGAACTTAGTCTAGCGGAGATTTAACACAGTAATATACAGAGATTGTATGCCATAAATGCCATACCAGTGATATATGGTGGCTGAGCAGTGACAGCTGGGTGTTGTAGAGTAGAAAGGATCCCCCCCCCCACCCCGCCCTCCCTGAAGCCAGGATTTCCAGTAGAAAGTATATCTTTTTGAGAAAAAACACCCCTCCTATAAATCAAGGGGCCTTTGTAGATCAAATTGTGATCAGAGTTATTCAGTGAGGATTTAGTAAGAGTTTGAGGATTGGATCAAAAGAAATGGATAGTCCTAAGGGATAATGTATTTGTATCTGACAAAAGCCCACCAATACCAAAAATGAAATATACCTTTGTGATTGGAATATTTTCTAATTTGGAGACTTTACATTCCATATATTTGATTCAGTTATAGCTTGTTTTTTACATTAATCATGCATTTCAGAGGCTAACTGCTGGGTCACTCTGATTGTATTTGTGTATTTCCTAGTCTCCTCAACCACATATTTATTGACAGCATTTCTTAGGGTAGGTTACTTTTACATGTGGTTAAATTTATTCATTAACTTGCATTTTCTTAGTTTAATCTCAGAGACTGACTCAACTTCAAGTTCTGAAGGTACTTATAGTCACCTATTTATTAACCACATTTTACTTTTATGTTTTGAATATGATCTCATTCAGGTGGGCTTAAGAATTTGTTACCTTTTAACTGGTGTTTGTTAATGGGTTCCCTGGTTATTTCGTTGTTGTTTAAGTTTGTTTTTTTAAACTTTTATTTTCATCCTACCAACCTTATGGGTTTGGATGCCCCTTCTGTGGTTTCTTTTTCCTGTAGAATCAGGCTAGTTATAGTCTATTTACATACTCTCACAGGCCTGAGGCTCTTTGATTCCTGTAAATTTAGGGTTATATCTCATGCTGGAGAGTCACTTAAGGATGGATAGCAAGGCTTTTTTGTGATGATTGTACGTTATTTTTGTGTTTGTTTACCTACATCTTTATTCCTTCCATATATTGTTAGGTAAAACATGCTACAGTATGTAGAAGGTACTATTTTACTGTTGTTTTTTAATTGTATGTTTATTAAAAGTCTGGAAAGATATTCCAAATTCAACACTAAGGTCTACATATATGGGAGATTTTTTTCAAAACTTGAAGCATAACAGCACAGGGGGAAGGAGAAGTGTACAGCTCAATGAAGCATCACGAAACATGGATAGGGAGATTTTGACATGTGGCAATGAATGTTGCTCCCTGGAGTTGGGTGACATGACAGCTCTGTGTTCTAAAGAGTGGGCTTGGTTTGGGACAAAAATAGGTGAGTAGTCCATTTTTGCTAGGCAGTTTATGTTAACCTGGGGTATAAGCCAGAAAGAGCCCTTGGTTTTAGGCTTAGAAGTTGCAATTTTATTTGGGAAGCAGTGAGGAGCCAGGAACAGGGATCTGAAGAGATAGTGAATAGAACTGATAGCAGTCAACAAAGCTGGAGCTTGAAAGTCTAGTTAAAAGATTATAATCGTGATAACTACCACTTAAATAGCACTTGCTATGTGCCAGGCAAGTTACCTTACATACACACAAACACATACATTTACCCTATGAGGTCTAAGAGTTGTTCAGATATAGGGAGGGAGGACAGTGTTGTTTCCAGCAGAAGAGGTGAGCAGTAAACAGTTGGGAAGATGATGCCAGAGTTTGGTGAGAGGTTACCCGTTGCCATCAGGTCGATTCCAACTCACAGTAGGACAGAGTAGAACTGCCCCATAGGGTTTCCAAGGAGCAGCTGGTGGATTTGAACTGCCAACCTTTTGGTAAGCATCCAGGCTCTTAAGCACCATGCCACCAGGGCTCCTTTGGACTACATATCTTTTGGAGTAACATTTATAGTGTGGTGATTTTTGGATCCTAAATGTGGATGAAACACATAGCAAATCACGAAAAGACTAAGGAGAAGATCTTGAACAATGGCTGTATTTTAAGGGTGGGAAGAGGATGAATCATGTAACCAAGGATATCATGTAGACCAAGAGATCAAAGCATTTAAGAAAGGTACTGATCAACTCCATAGACATTAATGAGGTAGAACAAACACCATTGGATTTAGCTGTTGGGAGATAGTTTTGGATCTACTAAAGGAGCTGTAGAGATAGAAACTAAATTGCTAGAGGTTGTGGAATAGGTAGACGGTGAAGAACTAACTGCTCTTACGTTTAAAGACAAAGCTGAGGAGGGATATCACAACTATACTGGGTGTAGCATGTATACCATTGTACATGCTGTTTATGCTGCTATTCAAACTTTCAAAGAGTCCTAATTCTGGATAAGTACATTTTATAGGTCAGTATTACAACTGTAAGGAGCCCTGCTGGCACAGTGGTTAAACGCTCAGCTACCAACCAAAAGATTGGTGGTTCGAACCCACCAGCCGCTCCTCAGGAGAAAGATATGGCAGTCTGCTTCCGTAAAGATTACAGCCTTGGAAACCCTATGGGGCAGTTCTACTCTGTCCTATATGATTCCTATGGGTCCGAAGAATCGACCTGACAGCAATGGGTTTGGTTTTGTTTTTTTATGCCATATGTAAAGCAGCATAGAAACTAGTAGATTTCAAATGAGTAAATTGGCAGCCTTAGGCTTGGCTTTTTAATAGACAATATCTCAGTGAAGTATATGCTATCTTGTATTTTTCATTGGATCAATAAAATCATAAAATCTTAGCATTGGAAAGGTCTTTATAGGTTGTCTGAGACAGTGACTCCTAAACGTTTTTGCTCACATACTTCCTAAATTGTTTTTAACTATGTATTCCTTTGTGTATTTTTAAGTTGCCATCTAAGGTTTTTTGTCCCCCACTTTGTTTAAATAGTTACAAAGAATAATTTCCAGCATCCTTTAGTGTTGACATGAAAAATAATAAAATTGTTACATCAGAAGTTTATATGTATCCACTGGGATGTAACAGTTACAGTTATTTGCTATCTGTCCTGGACATTAAAAAGCAATATGCAACAAACCCTTTTAATAGTCAGATATTTTACACTGATATTCTTTTTTTTTTTCTTCTCTCAATTTGTATTTCTAATTCACTTAACCCACAGTATATTATCTTAATATGTTTTTGTGCTTGAAAGTCATTTATTAATCTTTTCTGTGACTTAAAAGGTCCAAGAGATAAATTCTTCTGGATTGAATTATCATAATTACTAACAAGCAAAACAACACATATACTTTTATATAAAATGATTAAATAAAAAGTATGATTTTATTAGGATCCAATATGGTTATAAGGAGCCCTGGTGGTGCAATAGTTAAGCATTTGGCTGCTTACCAAAAGTGGGCAGTTTGAACCCACCAGCCGCTCCTGGGGATAAAAGACCTGGTGTTCTTCTCCTGTAAAGATTACAGCTAGGCCACCCTATTGGGGCAATTCTACTCTGTCCAGTAGGGTCGCTATGAGTCGGAACAACATCCATGATCACAACAACAATACAGTTGAAGTCTCCTACTCACCCAATTAGTTCGGGTGTCTGTGGATAAATCTTACTTATTGCTTAAATTACTTAAAGCCAGTGTTTGGTGTCAATTTCTTTCTTTCTTTCTTTCTTTTTTTTTTTAAATAAACATAAGCACTGAGAAACATTGTTCACATCAATAAGTAGATAAAAAGAAAGGAGTTTTGTTTAGGAGGGCCACTCAGTTTTTCAGGCTTCTACACAGAACATCACTTGCCAAAAGTTATTTTTAAAGCTCTTAGCTTGATTAGGTTCCTTTCAATTTTGTTGAAAGCAAAGAATTGGAAACCACCTAACAGGGGAAAGGATTTGTTGCCTTGCTCAGTCATTCATTTTTCTCAACACCTACACGGATGTTTTTCTTTGCTTGGCTTTATAGAGATTTATATGCCTTGAGGCAGTCCACAATAGTAAGATTCAGAATGGGTGAGAGAGGAGACTTCCTTGTGTAAAACAGGAGAAAGGCAAATGAAAGTGGATGCTTTGTGTTAAGGAAGACATCTTCTCAGGCAGATCAGTTTTGAGAAAAAATACTTATGGAGGCTAAGAATTTGGAAATAGAGTCCATAAAATTACCTTGGAGAGTCTTCTGTTACATTACTCCTATTTAAGCTGTAGGAATTCTTTTTTCAAACATCCTTAAATACAGTTACACTGACAAAGGTGGTGATAAGTCATATACATTACTTAATATTTTATGAAGCACCTAATTCTTACATAAATCCTTGTGGTGTGAATATCCTTATTTTACCTGTGAATCAATCAGATAGTTGGCTGTAAGTCACGGAAGTGGCAGGACAGGAACTAAAAATTTCTTTCTTTCTACCCCCCAGTTGCCGACACCTGATAAAATTAGGTGACAAAGTAAAGCCAGACTAAAAAGGGAAGGAGAGAAACAATGTTTTATTTTTTCTCTAAAGCATTACCTGTTTTTCTAAAATTATCGGTTTTCATAGTGGTGAGGCATAGAATTTTAGAGTTGCTAGAGACTTTTGACTTCTCTCCTAATGTAGAAATATTTTTTATACAATTTCAGAGACATTCTTATCAACCTTTTTAATACTTCATGGCAACATTTGTAGCTTGGAAAGCAGCCCATTAACTTAGCGTCTGGAGTCCCTGGGTGGTGTAAATGGTAACATGCTCAGCTGCTGAGGAAAGATTAGAGGTTTGAGTCTACCTACAGGCACCTCTGGGCCTGGCCATTGAAAACCCTATGAGTATAGTTCTATTCTGGCATACATGGTCGCCAAGAGTTGGAATCGCTAAAGTGACAATAGCAGCACAATTGGAAGAGCGTAGTCGATGTCACTGAACTGTGCATATAGAAATTTTTGAAATGATGTATCTTTGGCTATGTATATTTTCACCAAAAAAAAAAGGTCAAGAAGGGAGAGGGTTGACATGTGGTGGGGTTGTTAACCAATGTCATAAAACAATATGTGTACTACTGTTTCATGAGAAACTATTTGTTCTGTAAGCCTTCACCTGAAGTACAATTAAAAAAAAAAAAAAAGAAGGAAAAAAAAGAGTTGGAATCGACTTGATGACAACTAGTTAACTTAGTCTCTAGTTTATTTTTATTATTATCGTGTGTGTGTATTATTCTTTTTCGTCTCTAGTTTATTGAGCAAACCTTTTGAGAAGTTATTGGTGAGGGGCTATTGTATTACAACATACTGCAGAAGAAGGGCTTACTTTGTACGGTTTTCTGTACCATGATAGGGTTGGCTTAAATAAAGTTACATGGAGCTCTATGGTTTTTACAGCAGATTAACATATCTGAAGAGTCTTTGAATTCAATTGCATTATCTGAGTGAAACTGGGTGAAACAGATAGTTGATAAGAACTTCTTTTTGTCATCCAGGCCAAAATTACAATTCTGACAGCTATTATAAACTTTTTGTCGATGGTGGAAAAGTTCACTTTCTAGACTACTTGTTATGAAATATAACTATAAATCATCTACACATCTTATGTTAGTCACGAAATTGTAAATTTGCTAAATGTGCTTCTCATAAAATGATTATTTATTCTAGGTAATTGTATGATTTCTTGGGGGAGATGCAGAATGATATTTCACGGAAAGCAATTGTTTCAAACTTGTAACTAGAGAACATTTTTAGGAGGAATTTAACTTGGGAGTTTTGACTAAAAAAAAAAAACTTAGATGGATTTCTTAATTTTTTTTAAAGGATGGGTCTTCGGTTAAAGAAGTTAAAACCTACCACCAGGCGCGCACTTTAAGGCCTTTGAGAAAAAATGCACAGAATTCTTCAGATTCTAGTTTTGATAAGAATATGGAAGTAATGGAGAAGCATGCTAATGGCAGGCATTTTACAAGGTAATACAGGACGGTTGAACACTAATTCAAAATAGTTTTAAAGTAGTAATTTAGGATTTGCATTTAATTTTTAAAGTGTATTCGAGACCAGTTATCAAGATTCCAGGCATTTTAATGTAATTTATTTGAAATGAATTTGTGACAAATGAAGATTATTGAATTAAAAATTAATATGTACACAGTTTGATTTTATTTTCATGTTCAGAGACAATATTTGAGATAAGGTTGGTTGACGCAGGACCAGTTCTCTTATGTACCTGAGTATCCAAAGAGTCTTCTTGTGACTGTATCTTGCTGGTGATATTTAGCTCTGCTTTAATTTCTACAAAGCCTTTGTTCAAGGCAGTAACTATTTCTGAATGCTTGTTTCCAATTTTTTCATCAATTCTGAGTTATTTATGAACTTCTCTGTGCTGATATGCTCCAAAGCAGTCTTCACAAAGAGGCAAAACGTGATTTTTTTTTTCAACTAGTTTAATATGTGCCTGTTAGATGCCTTATATGTATTTTAATTTGCTTTCTCATGAACACTGAGGTAGGTGCTGTGAATCGCATTTTAACACGTAAGGAGTAGATAGTTTGGCTCAATTCATGGAACGGAGGTTGGTTGGGTTAAGAGCAGGGTTTAAATCTAAGCTAAGTTTAATTAACTCAAAACCTTTACTTTTTTCCTATCTTGATAGGGCTTAACAGAAATGGGGGGAAAGCCCCAATTAGAGAAAATTTCTTTGATGAAATAATTGTTTTTACTTTAATTCTTTTTTAAAGAAACTATTGATAATGATGTAGAAGTTTAGACCCCTCCTACTCTTAAATAAAATTTTGATTCTTATTTTGTATAGCAAATTTTCCAGGTAAGTGAGGGTAAGCCCTTGTTAGTTTCTGAGATTTTTGTTCTTGTTATTTTTTTCCAGTTATTTAATTAGTCTTTTATTATGCATTTTTAAATTTGCATTTCATCCATTATTTATGGGACACCAGCAATTTAAACACACATTCTTTGAAACATTAAACATGAAAGAACACTGACAGTTAAACTGTGACATGCCATCAATTGTAAGACATATCCCAATTTCAGAGATTTTAAAATAGGGCGAAATATACAACTTTTAGAATCAATGAAATTGATTATAAGCTAGTCTGGTCTTTCTGAAACTTAAAGTCTTCAGGTTTATTTCTGGAGTCCATGAATTCTATATGATAATTTTTAAATTATGTTTCATGATGTGAGGAAAAAATTAAACATATTCTAGATTATCTAAATTACCACCTTATAGAGAATTGTCATAAAATTTTAGGCCCTACATTTGTGCTTACAATTGAATTGACATCAAGTAGTATTACATTAGTTATGTCAGGTTCATGAGATAAGAACAGAATCTGACTTAATACATGGATGGTGCATGCACTGCCAGAAGAAAGGTCATGTGATATGATATCGTGACATACTGTTCAAATGAAGATTTGGAGCACTTCAGAGAAAAACAGATGAATTGAGTCATTGTGACAGACAACAGTGTAAGTATGCCAAACTCAAGAGAAACCATTAGCAATCAGTACCATATTCACAGAGCAAATAACTATTTTGTTTCAGCAAAACCTCATATTTTGTTAATATTTTTTGTTATTGGTGGTGGTGGTTTATCGTTTTATTTGTATAAAACTTATAAATGGATTTAGATCTAGTTTGGTTTGTCAGTATTCATACAAAAAATTAATATTGCAGGTCCTCAAAGTTTTTACCTTTGAAAGGATCTATGTATTATTCAGATATGTAAAATATTGTGCTGGGCTTTATGCTAGAAAAGTATTAAGGGAGTATATTACAACATGTATTTTTTGATCTGGATTTAAAGGTGAATAGCTTGGTATTTTTAAGTTTGATTCTTTCTAAAACATATTGAATTGCTGTCTTTTTCATTAATTATTTTTTAGTAACTGCTTACTGAGATATAATTCACATTCCACAGAATTCACAACTTTATACAATGTTGTGGTTTTAGTATGTTGTACAACCACCACCGCTATCTAATTTCAGAACATTTTCATCACCTGTTAGCAATCACTTCCCATTCCATTCTACCCCCAGCCCCTGGCAACCATTAGTCTTCTTTCCATCTCTATAAATTTGCCTATTCTGGACATTTCATATAAACGGAATCATACAATATGTGGCCTTTTGTGTCTGGCTTCTTTCCCTTGGCATGTTTTCAGGGTACACTCATGTTATAGTATGTATCAATACTTTGTTTCATTCCTTTATATTGCCACAGATACTCCATTGTAAGGCTGTACCACATTTTATTTATCCATTCATCAGTTGATGAACATTTGGGTTGTTTCTACTTTTTGACTATTACAAATAATACTCTGTGAACATTTGTAGACACATTTTTGTGTAGACATGTTTTCATTTCTCTTGGGTATATATATATGCCTAGAAGTGGAATTATTGGGTCAAATGATAATTGTATGTTTATGTTTTGAGGCACTGCCAGACTGTTTTCCAGAGCAGCTTCACCATTTTGCCAATCCCAAAATAGTGTATGAGAGTTCCAGTTTCTCCACATCCTTACCTCCATTTGTCCAAAATCATCTTTTTAATTTGAGCCATTTTAGTGTGTATGAAGTATCTCATTGTGATTTTGATTTTCATTTCCTTAATGGCTAATAATGTGGAATATCTCTTTATGTGCTTGTTGGTCACTTCTGTGGAGAAGAAATTCTGTCTTCTTAAATAAAAAATATCTTACTTCAAATTGTCATTACAAATACTATTTATTATTTTACGTGGTAGAATAGTGAGAACATCAGGAAACGTTTGTATGTGGCTTATAAAAATTAGCCTATAGTATTTTCGACTTCTGCTTTATGTAGTTTTCCTGTGTCTTAACTGGCTGACCCTTCCACTGCTGTCATTTTGCCTAGCTATGATAATCTCTTTACTTCCTTCCTTTCTGATTTTTTTTTCCTTTGTTTTTAACCTGTTTGAGGCTCAAAATCTAGGTGACCATGATTGTTAGACTAATAAACAAAGGTACATAAAATAATGCATAAAGTAACTAACTTGATGGCAGGATCTATATTTCTTTGATCCTTGGTTCTTAAACTAGGGTCCTGTGGTTGTGGATGATCTTCAGGTTCATGAAACCTCTGAAGTAGTGTTTAAACTTGTAATTTTCCGGGGGAGAAAAGATCTGTAGCTTTCATAAGATTCACAAGGCTTGGCAAACCTCTAGCTATCTGTTTTTGTAAATAAAAGTTTCATTGGAACACAGCCATGCCTGCTCATTTTGCCTGTGACTGCTCTCACCCTACAATGGCAGGGTTGAGTAGCTGTATATGAGTCAGAATCGTCTCCATGGCAGTGGGCTTGGGTTTTTTTTTTTTTTTTTATGACTCAGCAAGCCTAAAACATTTACTATCTAGCCCTTTAAGAAAAAGTTTACCAACCGCTCTAAGGGTAAAGCGCCTTCTTTTTCTTTCCCCACCTAGCAAAAAAGAAAGAAAAACAGTGCTTTAATCATTGTGTCCCTAGTACCTAATAGGGCCTCCTTTATTAAAAGTGTAGACCAACATGGTGTGGAGCGGCTCCTCTATGAGAAAAGTTTAGGAGCCTGTGAACAAAGTAGACCATGACCTGTAGATGAGTTGCTCCAAGACTTTTATTTTGTTTTTGGTTCTTACTTGTGTTCCAAGACAGGTAAGGAATTAATGATGATATATTGTTACGAAAATACACAAATCAACTCTGTGGATAAGATGGTTTTGTTTTCTTTTTAAAGTGTAATATTTGAAATTCCACATGTATAAACCAGCTCACTTGCAAATAGCTTGAGATATAGGTTCATTAACCGATACAGCCTGCCCAAGTACAGAAAATTGAGTGCCTAAAAATAAGTTAATGAAATATACTGTTTTGTTTGCTTAATGGATTTTTGAAGAAAAAAAAAATGAGGGGAGGATACCTTTTTTTTTTAAGCTTTGGAAAGTGTTCTTTCCAGTTCAGTAGGTTCTGCCTGCCAGTTTGTAGGTGAGATATCAGATTTACAAATGGAACTGTTTACATATGTGAGTGATAATAATGATGTCACATAAACATTGTAGCCAACAAATGTTCTTAAAAGGCAATTAACATGTTGCTAAGGGACATTAGTTCTGTTTATACTTATAAATTCCCTGAGAATCAGAGACCACTATATCCCTATGGAGTAAAACACTTTGTCTTTTTGTTCAATGCTTAGTTGAAGTATACTTGTAATACTTAAGAAAGCATTTCATTTCTTGTTTCACGTAAGATGCTTTGATTTGATTAATTTTGTTTAGCTAAGAGTTAATGCATATATCCTTGAATTTCACAGAAGAATTCTCAGACTTTGTTTAGTCATAACTTATATTAAACATATATATTGTGGAGCCATTTTTTTCAGTGTGTTTTAGGTATCTACAGGTATTACTCTCCAGACTGATTTAACTTTTTGTCTTAGTTTATAGCACCATGGAATATAACATTTAAGGTTATGTCAATTATTTTGAACTATTTAATATATTTTTTCATATAGGCAGTTGGCCAGACAGCAGGCTGATAAAAAAAAAGAAGAGTGTAAGGAAGGTAAGTAATGTTAAAGACATTTCAATACTTTCAAACATGTAATTAATATTTTTTACAGGTTTGTTGAAATATATCCAATAAACCCGTACCTATTTAAAGTATATAATTTGTTAGATTTTGTCACAAAGATAATGTCCATGAAACCATTGCCATAAGATAGTGAGATATCCATCACCCCCAAAAGTTTCCTCATGGTCCTTTATAATCCCTCCCATTTACTATACCCTCCCTCCCAAGATTGTGGAGTAACCACCAATCTGCTTTCTGTCACTTTAGATTAGTTTTCATTAAGTAGAGTTTTATATAAATGGAGTAATACAGTATGCATTCTTTTTTGTCTGGTTTCTTTCATTCAGCATAATTATTTTAAGATTCATCCATGTTGTTGCTTTTTGTTGTAAATAGTGTTCCATTATATGGATATACCACAATTTGTTCATCCATTCATCTTTTGATGGACATTTGGTTTCTTTCCAGTTTTTGGCTGTCACAAGTGAAGCTGCTTTGAACATTTGTCTACAAGTCTTTATATTACATATTTTTCCTTTTCTTTTGAGAGTTGAATGGCTGGGTCATATGGTGGGTATATGCTATAATTTTGTCTTTGTTTTATAATGTTTTTAAGAAAGATAAGTTTAAGATTCTATGATTTTGTTATATGAGTGGCTTTTCAACTGTTCGTTTTAGAATCGTAAATACTATTATTTAAAATTTTGCCGTTTATTTTTATGAACACATCTATGAAGACAAAGTGATTCCAGTTACTCGGTCATTGAGGACTAGAAACATCATTCAAACTACAGAGCACGTGCGTGAAGAGAATGGTGATGTTGAAGTTCGCCGCAGTTGTAGGATTAGAAGTCGTTATAGTACTGTGAACCAGTCCGTGCTATTTGACAAACTTATAACAAAGTAAGTCAGAATTCCTTAGATCAAGATGATTTATTTGACAAAAAAATTTGGAGGGGAGAAGCATCATGAATTTTTACTAGTCTGAACATTTAACGCATCAGTTTGTGTGAAGCATAAAGAAAAATGAAAAATAGAGTACTTTATAATAATTCTATATATTTAAATTCTTAGAAAGAAATTTGAAAATATACAAGTAAGTCAGTGCATATAGAGATATTTAAAATCCCAGCACCCAAAGATTACTATGGATGGAAATGTTTTAAATTTTAAAAATTTACTACTCTTACCATTTTAGCTTATGTTTATATCAATTTTTTAAAGCACTGCTGAAGCTGTACTTCAAAAAATGGATGACATGAAGAAGATGCGTAGACAGCGAATGAGAGAACTTGAAGACTTGGGAGTGTTTAATGAAACTCAAGAAGTAAATGTGTTCTTTCATTAAGGGGGTGATTTAATCTCCAGTTTAATTTTTTTCCATAGTACCTATCCGTTTTTGGTTAAATTAGTCGTATCTTTGCTCAGCATTTACTTAATCAGTAACTGGTTACTGCTGGAGTTGTAGGAGTTTACAATTGTAAATATCTTCATTTTAAGCAAAATTGGAAGATCCTAGTGAATTTTTTTTATAAATATAGTAAATGCTAATGGCTCTTATTTAAATGATTTTAGGGGAATCTGAATATGTACACAAGAGGAAAACAAAAACGTATCCAAAGAACTGATGAAGAAACAACAGATAATCAGGAAGGCAGTGTGGGTTAGTCTCTTTTTGTTGTTGCTGTTCCATCTTCTGGGTTTGAATTTCAGCGATTTTTATTTCGTAGGAAATAGTCTTTTTTTATTCAGAAGCTGTGACATTTATGGTAATTGGTCAGAGATGAAGGGATTGGTCATAATTAAAAAGAAAAAAGTTGGGGGCAGGGAATAACTGAAAAGGATATTATGTTTTGTTTGAGAAAGTACCTGAAATCAATAATTCTAAAGCAAATAATATTGTTTTGTTGTATAATACATCTATAGACCAAACCAAAAAACCCATTGCCTGGTCAAGTTGATTCTGACTTATAGCTACCCTATAGGACAGGGTAGAACTGCCCCGTAGAGTTTCCAAAGAGTGGCTGGTGGACACGAACTGCCAACCTTTTGATTAGCAGGTGAGCTCTTAACCACTGTGCCACCAGGGCTTCGCAGCTACAGACAACACATCATAGATCTCTCTACCTATTTTGCTTAAAAAGTGAATAAAGTTAAGTTTTTTTTATTCAAGTTAGGGCTTATTACCATAAACTATTAGAATTTTTCTTGAGTGAAACCCAGTTTTCTAAAATGCGGTTCTAAAATGTTTGGTGAGGGTGTTTTACTATTATCATAAGTAGATTATATGAGTTATGCTGCATGTAGCTCAGTAACAGCTAGGGAGGTGGATGGAATGTCAGATTTAAGTTTAGCATAACATGGTGTCAAATTTTAGTGTCTCCTCACTTAGCTTTTGCCTTTTAACTTGGAAGTTTAAGTATAGTCCCTATTTTAATTAAAATAGCAGCAACTTTAGTTTGGTATTTATTGGCAATAGCCTTTAATTTTCTTTCTACGCTTAATTTTTTCCCCTTCAAGTTGTTTTTATTCTGAAATTTTTTATGTCATTTTTTTTAAATCTTCATTTAATATTACAAAAGAATTACAGATTCTTTGTATGAACAATCTAAAAGTAGATAAATAAAAAGGCAAGGGACTGTTCTCCCCCAACCAACTTCTCTGTGTTAACAACTGTTAACATTTTGGTGAGAATCCTTTTGGAAGTAAGTGTTTCTTAATTGTAGAATCTTCTGAAGAGGGTGAAGACCAAGAAGATGAAGATGATGGTGAAGATGAAGATGATGATGAAGAAGATGGAGAAGAAGATAATCAGAAACGATACTATCTTAGACAGAGAAAAGCTACTGTTTACTACCAGGCTCCATTGGAAAGTAAGTGCTATATATTTTTTTCTAGGAGAAGATGTAATTATTTTACTAGCTTTATCTTTACTATCCCTCCTTTCTAATTCTTTCTTGTTTTTTAGTATTTTTCATGTTATGATAGTGCCAAAGTACTCATTGGCTGTTGTCTTTTCCTAACCTATCCTAAATCTGTCATTTCTTCCAAAGAAAGCTCAGTGGTAGCCTTGACCAAAGCACGTAATTGGGCTGTTCTGGAATTTTATATGTCTGCCATTGTTTTAGATTTCACAGTTTTCTTTTTTAATCTGTTTTGTCAGTTAGTAGAGATAGAACTGCTTTTGATTTGTTAACAGTGTACCTAAATACTTATGAACATAGACATGCAGGGCTAATAATCACTTGTTATGCACCCGTACTATCAGAATGGTTGGCCAGTGTGTTTTTCGTTTGGTTGGTATCTGTGATGTACGTATTTTCAACAACAAACCTGCAGACATGCAGATTTAAAATGTGAGCAGTAAAATATTCTATAGTAGATATTTACTAGTATTTTCATGGAAGGCAGCACATTTGTAAGTATTCAGATGAAGAGCAAAAATAGCTTCCTATATATTTGTATGTCATGGAGATATAATTCTTTTTTAGAACCTCGTCATCAGAGAAAGCCCAATATATTTTATAGTGGCCCAGCTTCTCCTGCAAGACCAAGATATCGATTGTCTTCTGCGGGACCAAGAAGTCCTTATTGTAAACGAATGAACAGGTTTGGTTCTGAAATAGTGATTGATTTATGACAATGTAAATGTGGCTATGTTAGGGTAGAATTCTAGACTAGAGTTGTAGAATTGGTGTGTTAGGGTAGGAGTCTAGAAACTTAATTTGAGAATTTATCTCTATGCCTTTAATACTGTAATCCCTACTACCATGGAATAGTTTTTGCTTTTGCTTCCACTAATAGGAAGTGTTAGTAACTACCATGGTAAGGTAGTTTATTCCATTGTTCCAAATCTTAATAATAAAGCTACCATTTATTCAGTGTTTATTGTATTCCTAGTTCTGTGTTAAGCATTTTATATAGACTGTTTCATTTAATCCTCACAGTAAGTTAGAGTGTAGCTTTAATCTTGTCTTCACATACAATCACAGACATTTTCCTACCATGTCAAGTGTTCTAAGTTATATACCTAGTCATCCTTTTCTGGATGTTTTAGTAGGCAACATTCATTTTCTTTGACTACTCCAATTATTCATGTGTTTCTTTTCCTTTTGCATCCCAATAGTTGTTGCTTGTCTGTCAAAAATTTAAGCCCAAAGAAGTAATTCCTCTTGTTACTTCTTCAGTCTCCTGAGTAATGAAAGGTTTTCTGATGCATTAGAACTGTCAGGGTAATAGTAGCACTGTGGTAGTTCATGAATGACAGAGCTTGTTGGCAAAGACTAAAAAGTGAGAAAAAATGACATTGATATGGGAAAGAGTACTTTTCCCTAATATTTAGTTTATTTTCCCAGAAGTAAAACTGAAATATTGTAGACTTCAACTACTTGAATAGCTCTTGGAAGTCATAGAAGAAGTAGAGTATCCAATAATGTTTTGCTTTAAAGTGCTGAGATTCACCTTTTCTAGAAAAAATATGAAACACTATTCACGTCCCTAGTATAACTATACTTTGATGTTTAATTTTATTTTCAAATTGGCAAAACCACAGTGTACATTCTAGATTTCTTGTTTCGTCATCTCTTCAGAAGGCCTAATAGGGTGGAGGATCAAGAAGACAAACTCACCCTGTCAGGGCTGCCCAAGATAAATTGACTTGAAAGGAGGCCAGATTGTCAGTATTTTTCATAGGCCCCTTAGAACGTCTTTAAAACCAGTATTTTGGTAGTGAAGTTAATGATCTTTAGAAAAGGAGAGTAAGGTGTAGGGCTCTCTGAAATCCCCACCAGTGTAATAGTAGATTCTTGGAATAGACAGGCAACTATTGGAATAGAATAGATTAGACAACAGACTAATATGTTGAGCAAATCATTTAACCTATGAGTCACTCTAGCCTTGACTGTAAAATGAACCTACTAGGTAATTGGTACTTGCGCAGAGTTTTCATTAGCATTAAATGAGATAACATGCTAAGCACCTGAGACAGGAAACAGTAAATATTAGTTCTTTTTATTAACTGTAAAGCTATTCTTACTTCAGTTATGTAAATACATGGAGAAGTTAGAACCTATTGTAATGGTAATGTTGAATAGGTTAGTTTTTCATATAAAACTGCAGGCTTGTACTGGCTATTTTAGATTCAAGCTGATCACAACAATGGTCTTGGGTAGGTAGGTGAGTGGATGATTATTTTATTTATTTCTGTTTATTTCTATGTTTCCACAACTTCTTACCAAAAATCCTTGGAACCATCTGTGTTTCAGAATTCGGGTTTTTTTCTGGATGTACAATGATAACACACTGCATATGTAGTGTATAACATTAATATCTCCAGAGTTACATAGGGCATATAATCAAACACAATAATTTTTTAGAGATACATATGAATAATCATAGTAAGTGGGATAAATAGCAACTATGAATTGCCTACTGCCATTTCAGGCCATATTTTGCTGCTAAGTGAGTGACAGAAACACTTTTTCTCAGAGTTTTTAACATACAGGATTCTGAACCTACATTATGCACATAATGGTTGTGAACCTTTTATATTTTTAGAAACACCTACTTGACAAGATTGCACTCTGACTCACAAAAAGCTGTGGACCTTGAGCCAACAGAATGATTAAAGGTTTTTCCCAGCTATGTTCTGTTCTTTTTTTCCCCTGTGGTTCTTTTACTACTGTCCAAAGGTAGAAATGATTTAAATTTTTTGTGTGTAGTGTTTGGCATCTTATTTAATGCTGCCAACCAGCCTAAGAGTTTGATAGTATTTTTATCTCTTTTTGTAAGTGAGAAAACTGAGGCTCATATAGGTTGGAGAACTCACATTACATAGCTGCTTAAGTGACAGAGTTAGGAATTTACAGTTGATGATATGCTGTAGAGTCCTTGCTGTTTACCAGGATTTTTTTACCTTTCTGATGTCTTTTGGTTTACATAAAAATCTCCTGTCCTCCTTTTAAGGATATTTGACATTTCAAAATAGATGATTTCCTCCCAAATATGAAATTGTGTATGATATAATATTGAAGATACTTTTTCAAATTACGGTTTCAAGATTCTAATACATTCTTTTTCCCACCATTCTCTTTAAGGATAATTGATTTATATCAAGACTTAAGAAATCACTCTGCCTAGACTATCTCCTATCTTAACGAAGATTTGATGGTCAGCCCTACTATCGCCTAATGTCTTTTTTGCTCTTCCTCTCAGTTATCCAGATCTTTTGTTCCCTTCAAAAGATTCAACCCACAAAAGCTACTTTTTGTGATTCATCAAATGTATTACTTTTTGGATCATTGTGTTTTTCTGATGTTTGGCTCTTGTGCATTTTTTTTGCCCTGTCTTCCCTCATCATGACTTAAAATTTCCTCACTTTAGACGAAGGCATGCAATCCACAGTAGTGACTCTACTTCATCTTCCTCTTCTGAAGATGAACAACAATTTGAGAGGCGAAGGAAAAGGAGCCGTAATAGAGCTATCAGCAGGTAAGGGCTACATTAATGCCTCTGTAAACAGCTTTTTTTGTTTGTTTGTTTTTATTGTGCTTTAGGTGAAAGTTTTCAGTTCAAGTTAGTCTCTCATACAAAAATGTATACACATATTGTTAGGTGACCCTAGTTGCTCTCCCTATAATGTGACAGCACACTCCCCTTTTCCACCTTGGATTTCCCATGTCCATTCAACCAGCTCCTATCCCTTTCTGCCTTCTCATCTTGCCTCCAGACAGGAGCTGCCCGTTTAGTCTCATGTATCTACTTGAACTAAGAAGCACACTCTTCACAAATATTATTTTATGTTTTATAGTCCGATCTAATCTTTGTCTGAAGAGTCGACTTCAGGAATGGTTTTAGTTCTGGGTTAACAGAGTTCCGGGGGCCATGTCTTCTGGGGTTCTTCCAGTCTCAGTCAGACCATTATGTCTGGTCTTTTTACGTGAATTTGATCTCTGCACCCTGCTTCTCTCCTGCTCCGTCAAGGACTGTCTGTTGTGTTCCTTGGCAGGGCAGTCAATTGTGGTAGCCGGGCACCATCTGGTTCTTCTGGTCTCAGGCTGATGGAGTCTCTGGTTTATGTGGCCTGTTTTTTCTCTTGGGCTAATATTTTCCTTGTGTCTTTGGCGTTCTTCATTCTCCTTTGCTCCAGGTGGGTTGGGACCAACTGATGCATCTTAGATGGCCACTTGCAAGCTTTTAAGACCCCAGATGCCACTCACCAAAGTGGGATGCAGAACATTTTCTTAATAAATTTTGTTATGCCAGTTGACCTAGATGTCCCCCAAAACCACAGTCCCCAGACCCCTGCCCCTGCTATTCTGTCCCTGGAAGTGTTTGTTTTTGTTCAGGAAACTTCTTAGCTTTTGGTTTAGTCCAGTGATGCTGACATCCATTCCCCTGTATTGTGTGTTGTCTTTCTCTTCACCTGACATAATTCTTGTCTACTATCTAGTTTGTGAATTCCCCTCTCCCTCCCTCCTGACCCTTGTAACCATCAAAGAATGTTTTCTTCTGTGTTTTAAACCTTTTCTTGAGTTCTTATAATAGTGGTCTCATGCAATATTTGTCCTTTTGTGACTGACTAAATTCACTCAGCATAATGCCTTCCAGGTTCATCCATGTCGTGAGATGTTTCGCGGATTCATCATTGTTCTTTATCATTGTGTAGTATTCCATAGTGTGAATACGCCATCATTTGTTTATCGTCCGTTGATGGGCAGCTAGGTTGTTTCCATCTTTTTGCTATTGTGAACAGTGCTACGATGAACATGGGTTTGTGAATACCTATTCATGTGACTTTTATTTCTCTGGGATATATTCCAAGGAGTGGGATTACTGGATTGTATGATACTTCTATTTCTAGCTTTTTAAGGAAGCACCAAATTGATTTCCAAAGTGGTTGTACCATTTTACATTCCCACCAGCAGTGTATAAGTGTTCCAGTCTCTCCACAACCTCTCCAACATTTATTATTTTGCGTTTTTTGGATTAACGCTAGCCTTGTTGGGGTGAGATGCTATCTCATTGTAGTTTTGATCTGCATTTCGCTAATGGCTAATGATTGTGAGCATTTCCTCATGTATCTGGTAGCCATCTGAATGTCTTCTTTGGTGAAAAATGCCTTGTCATATCCTTTGCCCATGTTTTCTTTGGGTTATTTGTCTTTTTGTTGTTGAGGTTTTGCAGTATCTGGTAGACTTTAGAGATTAGACTCTGATCAGATACGTCGTAGCCAAAAATTTTTTCCCAGTCTGTAGGTTGTGTTTTGACTCTTTTGGTGAATTCTTTTGATGAGCATAAGTGTTTGATTTTTAGGACCTCCCTGTTACCTAGTTTCTTTTCTGGTGTTTGTGCATTGTTAGTTATGTTTTGTATTCTGTTTATACCATGTATCAGGGCTCCTAGCATTGTCCCTATTTTTTCTTCCATGATCTTTATCATTTTAGATTTTATATTTAGGTCTGATCCATTTTGAGTTACTTTTTGTGCATGGTGTGAGGTATGGGTCTTGTTTCAGTGTTTTGCAGATGGATATCCAGTTATGCCAGCACCATTTGTTAAAGAGACTGTCTTTTCCCCATTTAACAAACTTTGGGCCTTTGTCAAATATCAACTGCTCATAGGTGGATGAATTTACGTCTGGGTTCTCAATTCTGTTCCATTGGTGTGTATATATGTTGTTGTCCCAGTACCAGGCTGTTTTGACTACTGTGGCAGTATAATAGGTTCTAAAATCAGGTAGTGTGGGGCCTCCCACTTTGTTCTTCTGCTTCAGTAATGCTTTATTTATCCAGGGCCTCTTCTCTTTCCATATAAAGTTGATGATTTGTTTCTCCATCTTATTAAGAAGTGTTGGAATTTGAATCAGGATTGCATTGTATCTGTAGATTGCTTTGGGTAGAACTGACATTTTCACAATATTGAGTCTTCCTATCCATGAGCAAGGTATGTTTTTACACTTATGTAGGTCTCTTTTGGTTTCTTGCAGTACTGTCGTGTCACTTTCTTTGTATAGGTCCTTTACATCTCTGGTTAGATGTATTCCTAGGTATTCTATCTTCTTAGGGGCTATTGTAAACGGTACTGATTTGGTGATTTCCTCTTCAAAGTTCTCTTTGTTGGTGTAGAGGGATCCAACTGATTTTTGTATGTTTATCTTGTATCCTGATACTTTCCTGAAATCTGTTAGTTCTGATAGTTTTCTTGGGGATTCTTTGGGGTTTTCTGTACGTAAGATCATATCATCTGCAAATATGGATACTTCTTCCTTATCAGTTTGGATGCCCTTTATTTCTTTTTCTAGCCCAATTGCTCTGGCTAGGACCTCCAGCACAATGTTGAATAAGAGCAGTGATAAAGGGAATCTTTGTCTGGTTCCCATTCTCAAGGGGAATGCTTTCATACTCTCCCCATTTAGGATGATGTTGGCTGTTGGCTTTGTATAAATGCCTTTTATTATGTTGAGGAATTCCCTTCTATTCCTATTTTACTGAGAGTTTTTATCATGAATGGGCGTTGGACTTTGTCAAATGCCTTTTCTGCATCAATTGATAAGATCATGTGGTTCTTATCTTTTGTTTTATTAATGTGATGGATTACATTGATTATTTTTCTAATGTTGAACCATCCCTGTATACCTAGTATGAATCCCAGTTGGTCATGGTGAATTATGTTTTTGATATGTTATTGAATTCTCTTGGCTAAAATTTTGTTGAGTGTTAAGTCCACATATATTAACCAACTCATTTGATTTTCTCAATAATTATGTGAAGTAGATAGGGCAAGGATTATTCCTATTTTATAGGATGAAAAGTGCTTGGATTCTAATAATAAAATATACTTTATGTTCAGAGTAGAGCCCAATCCTTGATGAAGCAGTTGGAAAGTAGTAGTTCAAGGGGCCTGCAAACCAGTCATTTTAGTATCCTAAGCTCTATCCTTGCGTCATGTTAGAGCTGCACTGTCCACTACAGTAGCTACTATCCACATGTGCTGTTGAGCACTTAAACTGTGGCCAGTCAGAATTGAGATATACTGTAAGTACAGAAAATATACACTTGGGTCTCGAAAACCTAGTACAAAAAAAGAATGTAGAATATCATATCTCAACTTAAAAAATATTGATTACTTTCACCTAAGCACAATAAAATTAAATATGTATATATATAAATAGATTGCATGTTGAAATGATAATATTTTAGATATATTAGGATAGATAAAATACATTACTAAAATTTGTTTCATTTTCTTAATGTGGCTAATAGAAAATTTAAAATTACATTTATGGCTTACATCTTATTTCTGTTGGACAGCAATGAGGTAGATCATCTGAAAGCTGAGTACTTAGATTACTTGTATTTTTCTGAGCCCTGGTGGTGCAGTAGTTAAGCCCTCCACCACTAACTGAAAGGTTGGTAGTTTGAACCCACCGTTTGCTATACTGGAGAAAATTAACAGTGCTTATGTAAAGATTACAGCCTTGGAAACCCTACGGGGCAGTTCTCCTCTCCAGTAGGGTTGCTATGAGTTGGAATTGACTTAGTGGCACCGGGTTTGGTTTTTGGGTTCAATCATATAAATGGAGTTAATCCTAAGGATTTTATATTATGCAGTTATATACTTTTATTGAGAATTATTTAAAAAACACCCATCAAAAAGCCAAAATTGAAAACTTGTCCATCGAATGTTTTCACTATATAAATTATTCTTGGAGTTTGGGGCTAGAAAAAGTTTTCATTTGTGGTAAGCATGGTGTGCTTTTACTCGTGTTTAGCTGCAGCAGTCATTCTTAGGCTCTCTAGCCTCTAACATAATTGGTTTTTATTTTTCAATCTATAAAATGAGCAGATTCTTCTAGGTATATTCTTTGTAACCTATCATACTGATTTTAAAAGTAGGAAAGTAGTGATACATTCTTGCTTGCCTCAGAAGATTGATGTGGATCCAGACGCTGGTGCATTATGACTATTTTGCTGAGAGGTTAGTATAGCAGAGTTGTTGCAGGTCTAGAGACAGCCCAGCCTACTTGGGGTTGAGTCAGGGCTCTGCCATGTAATAGCTGTGTGACCTTAGGAAAGTTAGTTAACCTTTCTGTGCCTCAATTTTCTTTTAAAATAGGGAAAATAAGAGTACCTACCTCTTAAGACTTGTGAGGACCTAAAGAATTAATACATGTAAAGCACCTGAAGCAATGTCTGACAAATGGTAAACACTCTCTGTATATTACACACAATCATTATAATGTGTTTTGACATTGTGAATTCTCCACTGTGGATTACTTCATGGTACTCATGGTCAGTCTTTATAACTGATAATTTCATTTGTAACTCTTAAATTCTTGACCTTAGTTCCCTCACCTACAAATAAAATGAGAAAGTTGAAAGACATACACTCAAGATTGCTCCAATTGAAATTATTTTTTTTTTAATTTCTAAGAAAAAATGTCCATAATCTAATATGGAATTTGGGGAGGGAGGGAGAATTGATGGGTGTTTTTTAAGAAGATCTTTTTCAGTAGGTGCCTCCCACTCAACTTTCGGAAAGATGAATTGAAAGGAATTTATAAAGATAGAATGAAAATTGGAGCAAGCCTTGCTGATGTTGATCCTATGCAAGTAGATTCTTCAGTGAGTACTGTGTTTTGAAATGTATGCTTGTACTATAATATTGTTCATTTGTTTTAGTCAGTTTTAAAGTTAAAGGGAAATCAGTTTTGGTTATTTTTGTTTGTTTTTTAATCAGAAACTTTAACCTTTACAAGACAATTTTTTCTTTTGACTGTGTATGGGTTAGGTATTATTTAGGGGTGGGTAACATTTTAATCTTGACTCCACATCTAAGAAAGTCAGTGTTTCCCTTCTATGACCAGGTACGGTTTGATAGTGTTGGTGGCCTGTCTAATCATATTGCGGCTCTAAAGGAGATGGTGGTTTTTCCATTACTTTATCCAGAAGTCTTTGAAAAATTCAAAATTCAGCCTCCAAGGTAATTATAGTTTTTATTTTAATCAAAATCTGTGCTATGTTACTATTATATAGAAAGATAATGCTTCTCTGTTGAAATTTTTCAGATCTATGGTAATTTAATTCACTTTTTTCTGCAAGGTCCTGGGTACTTTGAATATTTTTATTTTCTTGTTAAACTTTTGGTGCTATGTTACTGACCCTGAGACCAAAGATTCTAGATGAAATCTGCTGTACTTTCCCATGATATCTGTCATAAAAGTAAACTATCAAATCATTTTAACCATGATTTCTATGCAAGGTAATCTGATGAACATGATGAATGAATAAAAGAAAATCTGTTCCAAATAAAGGGGTTTATTTACAGCTTCAATATTAATTCCCAGATTTTAGGTATGTTTTGTGGATTGAAACTGTATTTCAGTTGCCTTATTTACTTTTCTATTCACTAAGTGAATTTATGAAATTGCTTCCTAATTTTCTTTTTAAATTTTGTTTAAACATTCCGCTTTTAATGTAGTGCTAAAACATTGCATATTCTTTTACAGAGGTTGTTTGTTTTATGGTCCTCCTGGAACTGGAAAAACCCTGGTTGCTAGAGCCCTTGCCAATGAGTGCAGTCAAGGGGACAAAAGAGCAGCATTTTTCATGAGGAAAGGTGCTGACTGTCTGAGTAAATGGGTAGGGGAATCTGAAAGACAGCTACGATTGCTGTTTGACCAGGTATGATATTAAAATTTACCTATATGGATAATTTTATAAACAGTGCAAATGTAAGTTTAAGGATTAGATAAATCTTGCATTTAATCACTTTTCATATAAACAGATTCAAAAGAACTGGATCAACTATAACGCCTTCCTAGAATATTTTTCTTTCTATGTCAAGATAACACTGACCTACAGTGAACAGCTTTATAGTAAGAAGACAAATAATTGGATCTAAATTCTTTGACGTCTTAAGTCGCATCCTTAGAGAGAGAGTGGAAGTCTCATATTTAAGAGACAGTAGTAGTGTGTTATATTATGTCTCAGCATATGAGTTGAAGAGTAGTTCTGCCTGAAGACAGCTTTCAGTTTCACATCCCAGATTGTATTGACAGCACATTGTAAGACAATGCTTCTGCAAATGCTTTTAAATCTCTTATTGGAACTCACATTCCTTCTTGATTTTAACTTCATAAAAATAGATAAAACTGTGAAATCTTGCTAAATATTGTTTTCTCATCCTGATGTGGAGGAAGGCTATGGGTCACATCTAATCTTCTTTGCCTTGTTTTTATAATTAGTCTTTAATAGATATTTCTTGTGTGATCAATAACTGTAACAATATGAAATCTTAAGGTGCGTAACCACCTTAGATTAACTGAATGTTTCCAACTGAAAAAGCAAATTAAATGAAACTATGTGCTATTATAATTTAGTCTGAATCCTTAAAACAGTTCTTGAATTTACATTTATATTTATAAGTTATATTCTGGTAAGCAAGTTTGAATGAAAATGGATTAAGATGGCTTATATTAAGTTGATGTATTTGAGGCCTTTTGCGGTAACATGGACTACTGGACTTGCTTTCTAGGCCTATCAGATGCGCCCATCAATTATTTTCTTTGATGAAATTGATGGTCTGGCTCCAGTACGGTCAAGCAGGCAAGATCAAATACACAGGTAAAACTGGCTTGATGGCACTTCTGCCTTTCTTCCTATATTCTAAGCTGTATTTGACAGTGCATGAAAGATAGAATGTTAAGTGATAAAAGAAACTTTTCAAACCAGTGATTTTTTTTTGTTGTTGTTGTACCCATACCCATTGCCGTCAAGTTGATTCTGACTCATAAGTAGCCTTAGTGGTGCAGTGGTTAAGCGCTTGTGCTTGGCTGCTAAGCAAAAGACCAGCAGTTCAAACCTACCAGCCACGCCATGGGTGGAAGGTGTGGCAGTCTGCGTCCTTAAAGATTTACAGCCTTGGAAACCCTATGGAGCAGCTCTGCTCGGTCGTATAGGGTGACTATGAGTTTTTGATAGTAGAACCCCTGTATATAGAGTGAAACCTGTGACAGCTGGAACTTGACCAGGACTGCCTTGTTTTTCCGGGTCTCGAAAAATTTTCCACCTTTGACAGAGTGCAGTCTTAACCACTTTTCTGTTGCTCATTTTAGTGGAAAATATTTGCATTTTCCTTCTTTGATAGGTTTCTGCATTTGCAGGTTTTACTGTAGTAGAAGAAGAAAAAAAACCTGTTCTGGGCGGTGGGGTGTTCTGAAACACAGTTTAAAAATCTTAGTTACAGAAGATTTAACTCTTGATGGAAACTTAAATACCAGCAGGCCAGCCAGCTAAGGCAAATGAGTGAGGCAGGCCAGTGGCAAGAGTGGGGCTATGGTGGGGCATGTGGCTGCATGCCCTATCTTAAGAACATGGCCTGTTGATTTTAGCTCCAACTTATTATCGAAGTACAAAAGGTAACCCAGACTTGAAAAATAGATTATCTCTCTTTCTCAAATTTTGTATTCAAATTGTTAAGTGTCTTTTAAACATTGCCAGCTAATTTGGATGCTTTTAAGACACTGTCTGGACCAAACAAAATATGTCTTAGAGCATGACTACTGGTTTAAGATTCTAACACTAGCTGAGGTTCCTCATTGTAAAGATGAGAAAACTGCAGCCCCTCCATGATAAGTTGCTTACCCAAGGGAGCAGTTTTCCTTAGTGTTCCTGCCCCAAGTAGAATCCAGACTACCTTTAGTTTCAATTCATTTTCAGTTTTCCAGACCTTCTTTTCAAGTGGTCTTATGATTATCTGTTAAGTGCTTAATTAATTTGGGATATGTAACATTTGCAGGCCTTCTATATACCATTGTGTTATATTCTAGACATGTAATGTGATTAATAGGCTTTGACTTTTCTAATACCTAACAATGTTTACTATCTTCTGGTAGCTGCCTTTAACTTTATGCTATACAATTTCATTTGTAGCTGAGTAAATTACTGTTCACTACTGTAAAAATACTTGTCTTTACACGTCCTACCAGTAATCTTACGGACTTTTTCTGTATGATGGACACGTTTCATCACCAGCCTCACTGTATTCATTGTGTTAAGGAGGAGAAACATAACAATACTATACAATCTCTTTGCAATCAAATAACTGAGTACCTATTTAATGGATTTGGGCACAGTTTTAAAGGCATTGGAGAAATTTTAGCAAGAAAAACTGTAGAAAAATTTTAACAAGCAGAAGCATATCATCTCAGATATTTTTAAAGAGAAATTTAGTATATAATTTTTGTTTTTTTTTTTTGACCAAATACTTTTAGAATCTGACAGAGTAAACATTTTTATTAAATTCTGCTTTTTAGGAAGTTAACATATTGATATGTTTCAATATATACATACTTAACATATTTGCTTATTTTTTTAAAGAAATAATGGAAGAATAAACTACAAACATACATGTTGTGTGTCTATGTGTGTGTGGAGAGAAAGAGAAAACAAGCTAGAGATCTATAGGGATGTGAGAGATTGGGGAAAAGAGAACAAGGATGGAAGGTAGACCTCTGAACTTGCCTTGTTTTATAGCTCTGACTTAGGAACCATATAACTATTTTACATAATCTTAAAAACTTAATAAACTGAAACAGATGAACCTGCCTTTCAAGTGGGTAGCATAAAACATACAAAAGAATTCTCTCAAGTAACTTTGAAATGTAACCTTTTAATATATTTGGGGATATCTCTTAAGGACAAATCAATAGATCTTAAACTGTATTCTGTATCTTACTGTTGGTAGTAATGATATAGGATAATGCAAATAAGGGATTACATGACTGTCATTAGGAGACAAGATTTTCAGCCTAAGAGAAAAGGAATGCAAATATAAAAGAAGTTAAATTAAAACCCTAAAATCTTTATTTTGAATTGGAAATATCAATGATAGATTTTTTTTTTTTTAATATTTTATTGTTTTTGGTGAAGGTTTACACAGCAGTTTAGGTTCCTATTCAACAATGCCTACACAAATTGTTTAGTGACATCAGTTACATTCTTCACAATGCATGGACATTCTCAGTATTTCCATTCTGATTGTTCTGTTTCCATTAATCCAGTTTACCTGCCCCGTTACATTCTCATTTTTGTTTTAAAGTAAATGTTGACCATTTGGTTGCATATAGATGATTTTTTTTTTTTTGATAGATTTATCTTAAAAAAAGAAAAAAGAATTCCTAGCTCCAGACACTAAAAATTAGTGTCTAGCAATTAGTACTAGTACCCAAAATGGGAAGCAGTCAAAGACTACTGAGGTCATATGAGAGTACATAGGAATTCAATCGTGAAGGGGCTCCTGTTGTCTGAAGATGGGACAATTTGAGCATCAAAAATAATAGTGACTACAACAGATTGAAATGCATCAAATAGGTAAAAATATATCCATTTTTAATGACACTTTTTGAAAAAATCTAATTGGTCACCCCAGAGGTTACTTATTACTCTGAATATCGAAAAATGAAAGAGTCCATCATTTCTTCTTCCTGTCCTGTACAGACCATGATTCAGGGTAACTCAATAGTTGATGAGGTAAAGTTGTTTTAAGTCTTTCTTAGAAATATGTATGTGAAGTATTCATATGAAATATTTGTGGATAAAATGATATGTGTGAGGTTTCCTTTTTTAAAAAAACTGTTGGGTGGAGACATTAAAAAAAGAATACTTATAATTGTTGAAGCTGGGTGACAGAGGCACAGAGATCATTTTTACTATTGTCTCTCCATAATAAAAAGTTTAGAATGTAATTGAAATCCTATCATTTTATTTTTTATTTTGGGGTTCTTTGATAGTGTATATCTAATGGAACATTTTATAATTTTTAGATACTCGTTGTCCTACCTGGTAGTACTAGTATTTTTTTACAAGTATTTTTTTGATGTTACATGCTTATTTGGGAAGTCTCAAGTTCCTCTGTGAATTTATGCTTTAGGCCATGGCTTCCAGGGTCCATTTGTGACACTCTAGGGACCATCTGTATTTTCTATTGTTTTCAGTATCTTAATGCCATTTAATTTGTTATTTTACAGATTTTTTTAAATCCATTGAAAGTAGTGAAATGTCCTGAGAAAATTTTTTGATAAAATAAATCTTATCAAAAGAAGAAATATTAGTGAATGATATATTCATGGTCCATAGAATTAATCTCTTTTCTCTTGTTTTTTTCAATTTAGTTCTATTGTTTCCACCCTGCTAGCTCTTATGGATGGATTGGACAGCAGAGGAGAAATTGTGGTCATTGGTGCTACCAACAGACTCGACTCTATAGATCCTGCTTTACGAAGGCCTGGTCGCTTTGACAGAGAATTCCTTTTTAGCCTACCTGATAAAGAGGTAAGAATTTAAATTCTGTCAAATTTTGAAAAAATATGTTGCCTTTTAGCATTAGCAAGTCTCGGTACAGTGAAAGTTTGAAGATTTTTGCATCTTGTGTCATGATCTTATGAAGTGATATTAAAAATTAAACGGGTATATATTTTTTAATTTTTTCTTTAAAATTATAATAACTCTGCCTTAAAAAATTTTTTTAAATTCTTTGAATTTGAGCACAGCCTTTAGGATATTGTCAATCATAAAATTTTATTTTGCTCAGAACACGTTGCCTAATGAGCAACCAATCCTTAGCCAATTTGTTAGCCTTGGGTTTTTCATGGACATCACTATATAATCCTACCCAGTTGTTTTAAAGCCACTTAATCTTTTGGGAGCCAAGCAAGAAAATATGGAGAGAGCTGTCACTACTCTGAAAAACAGTTCTTAATATGCACCAGAATAACAGTAGTTCAGAAGTTCCTTTTTCTCATGCATGTTTATAATGAGCGGACTTGAGCACTATAAATGCAAATCTGTTTAACAATGAAACTAAGTTTCTTAAACTCTCACTGATACATGTTTTCTCATTTTCACTGTATTTCATCTTTTAATATTTCTGCTTTTATTAAGTATTAATTTCTTTAAAGAATAGTAGACTAACATTTCAGGTAATCGAAAGTATTTTAAGTTGAAGTTACTCTAATTTGAATAGCACTTCATTTTTATAGATGTAAAACATCAAATTGTTTCTATTTGTAGGCTCGAAAAGAAATTCTAAAAATTCACACAAGAGATTGGAATCCTAAACCACTGGACGTGTTTCTAGAAGAGCTAGCAGAAAACTGTGTTGGTAAACATTGTTTTAAGCAGTTAAAAGAAATATTACGTTCATTTCAAATGTAACAAATGGTACAAATTGTAGTCTCACAAGGTTAAGTTTAAAGAAACACAAGATCGTATTTCTTTCTCAGTTCTCTTGTTTGTGGCATGCTTTTTTCTCAATGAGTCCTGGATATTAAATACACATATTTGACAAATAGGCCATCAGGGAATAGAGAGCAATTGAAATGCACAATAATAATACTAGCTCTCTTTTGCTGACCATTTACATGTTTCTAATCATCTGGCACGGTGGCTGAGAGCTTGGCTGCTAACCATAAAGTCGGCAGTTTGAATCTGCCAGCTGCGCCTTGGAAACTCTATGGGGCAGTTCTACTCTGTCCTGTAGGATCGCTATGAGTCAGAATCCCGAGAGCAATGGGTTGTTTTTATTTTGGTTAGTCATCCTGCTAAAGAGTCTATATACATGATTTAATTCTCACATCAGTCCTGTGAAATAGGTGCCCTTATCCCCGTGTTACAGATGAAGAAATGGGCTGGGAGAGCTTAAGTGATTTTCCAGGGGTGACCTATCTAGTAAAGGATAAACTGGAATTTGAACCTCATCTGTGTGATTTTTAAACTCTTGCTCTTGGCCCCTATGCCATACTTAGTGCTTTCATCTTTCACTCACAAAAATGGATTGATTTGTTGGTGATTAGTACTATCATGTGAGGTCACTGGGTAAATGAGGCATTTTGGTTTTATTACTGTTAAATATTTTGCTGCTGTACTAGATTTTTAATCTTCCTTTAACCATGGTCATGCTAATAGATTTTTTTGGTTGCTTTGAATAGGATACTGTGGTGCAGATATTAAGTCGATATGTGCTGAAGCGGCTCTATGTGCTCTACGTCGACGCTACCCACAGATCTATACCACTAGTGAGAAACTACAATTGAATCTCTCTTCGATTAATATCTCAGCTAAAGATTTTGAGGTGGCTATGCAAAAGATGATCCCAGCCTCTCAAAGAGCTGTGACATCACCTGGGCAGGCACTGTCCGCCATTGTGAAACCACTCCTGCAAAGCACTGTTCACAAGATCTTGGAAGCACTACAGAGAGTCTTTCCACATGCAGAAATTGGAACACATAAAGCATTAGACTCAGGTAAACACTTGATTGACCACTGAAGGTTAGTTTTCATGATCAGCAAATCTAAATGTTTGTATATCCCAGCAGTGTTTCTTTGTAAAAGACTCCCTTGAAGGGAATTTAGTTGTGCTTTACTTGGGATTTTTAAAGAAAAGTTACTTTATATGGATTATCCTTAACTTAAATCTATTTTAAGTTTGAAATGCATTTTTATATTTACTTGTTATTCATATTTACACAAATATTTTTGGTTCTTGAAAAAAAATTCATTGAAGTACTTTGATTTGCTAACTGGAATATTATGTAAATATTTACTTTGCAATCCAGAAAAATTACTGATGAACTTTTTTTTGTTTGTTTTGTAGGTATTTCTTGTCCTCTGCTAGAAAGTGACTTGGCATATAGTGATGATGATGTTCCATCAGTATATGAAAATGGACTTTCTCAGAAATCTTTTAATAAGACAAAAGAAAATTTTAATTTTCTTCATTTGAATAGGTACATTTTCCTTGTTAATTTTTATTTTATTTTATTTTTTGGGGAGTATATAGAGTCCTTAAAACTAAATGAGATTGTAGTTGAAAAGATAAAAGATGTCAACCAAACTTTTTTTTAGGATAAAATATCAGGATTTTTTTTGTTTTTACAGTTATCACTATAGTAGAAATTACTGCGTAAAGTATTCCTAAAAACCTGGATGTTAGTTGTTTCCATCAGCCATGTGAGCCATGTTGTTATGACTGGTCAGCCATGGACTTGGACTTACCAGAGTTCATAACTGATGATTTGGGAAGGAGGAGGATTAAAACTTTTTTTTCTAAAACATAGCATATTAATTATTTCTTTCAGAAATGCTTGTCACCAACCTATGTCTTTTCGACCAAGAATATTGATAGTAGGAGAACCAGGATTTGGGCAGGGCTCTCACTTGGCACCAGCTGTCATCCATGCTTTGGAAAAATTTACAGTGTATACATTAGACATTCCTGTTCTTTTTGGAGTCAGTGCTACATCTCCTGAGGAAACATGCGCCCAGGTAATCCATTGTTGCCCAGACAAGTAAGCTGTTTGGAAGATAAAGCAGTCTTCCCAAGACAAAATCTAGAACTACCTCATTTTTATGTTTTTTTCCCCCTGATTTCTGACTTTGGGTTTATGAAATAGAATTATGCATTATTGCTTAGTCATTGAAGAGTATGGGTTCAAATCCTAGTTCTACCACTTACTGTCTGTGTGACCTTGGGAAAATGATTAGATCTCTGGCTTGTTTTCCCCATTTGCAAGATGGATATGATAATAGTGCTATTGGAAGTTTTAAATGAGTAAAGTAGAACAGGGACTATTACTTGGTAAGTACTCATACTTCAGTTTTTGCTGTTTTCATATTTAGTTTTTAAAGATATTTTATACCTATATTTTTATGTTTAACCGTATTTACCACAACAGAAAAGTCTTCTAGATTTCTTGAGCAGTTCACTAATTATCTAGTAAACACCAAGCTGCTGTCAAGTCAACTCCAGCTCCTGGGGCCTCCATGTGTGTCAGAGTAGAACTGTGCTCCACAGGATTTTCAATGGCTGGTTTTTCAGAGGTAGATCGTCCACCTCTGGGTGGACTCGAACCTCCAACCGTTTGTTCGCAGTCAAGTGCATTAACCATTTGCACCACCTAGGGACTCCCTTTACTAGTTACTTGAAGCAATAAGTTTTCCTAAAAATGAAACTTTTCACAACAGTTTTAAGAAACAGGATTGTGAGGATTTGTAGGAAGCATTTTAAAAACTTGAGGGTTTTATATGATAATTTTGGAAAATGAAACATTGTTCCAGACTAATAGATCTAGCATCACTAATGTGCCGACTCTAACTAAATGGGGTTTTTTTCTCCATCAGATGATACGTGAAGCTAAGAGAACAGCACCGAGTATAGTGTATGTCCCACATATTCACTTGTGGTGGGAGATAGTTGGACCAACACTCAAAGCCACATTTACCACATTATTACAGAATATTCCTTCATTTGCTCCAGTTTTACTGCTTGCAACTTCGGACAAACCCCATTCTGCTCTGCCAGAAGAGGTAATCTATGGTGAAAAAAATCATTATACTTTAAAAAAAGTTATTAATACCAAAGTAATAAAAACTCATTGTAAAAATTCAAGTGCTACAGAAGTGAATAAAATGATAAGAAAAGGATTTCTTCACTCATCAAAGATAACCATTGTTAACTATTAGATATATGTGCTTGTTGGGTGAGGCAACATGTGGGTGTACAGTAAGGCTACATTACTGTTTTCTCTTACAATAATGGGAACATATGATGCATACTATTCTGCAGTTTGCTTTATTCACTTACCAACATATCTTATGTATTTGTCAGTACACAAATCTCATTCCTTTTAAGAGCCACATGACTTTTTCTGTTGTGTGTACCATAATTTATTTATCCAAATCCTTACTGATAGATATTTTGGCTGTTTTCCATTTTTATCTATTGAATTGCTACGGTGAGCATCCTTTTATTTTAATTCGTATGAGTATTACTATGTGGATTTTTCTAGCATCAGTTCCCAGAAGTGCAATAGCTGTAGCTGTGTCAAAGAGTGTGTGCATTTTAAATTTTTGATAGTACCAGATTGCTGTCCTTCAAGTTTGTGCCAGTGTAGACAACTACCAATGACAAAGAAAAGTTTGTGTTTCTTTTACCTGGAACACTCTTCTCCTAGATATTCAAATGTCACTTTAGAGAGGTCTTCCCTGATCAGAGTTTCTAAATTATAGCAGTAGTCCCTCCCTGTCACTCTTTTCCCTTACCCTGCTTTATTTTTATTGCTACTTGCCGTTAAGTGCTAATTGGTTTGACTCTCTGTCTCCCCTACCAGAATATTAAGTAAATGAAGTCAAGGACTTTTTCTCTTACCTCTGTAGCCCCAGAGCCTACATAATATACACATTGCAGACTTCTGGTTTTTTTTTTTTTTTTTTTTTTAGTGAGTGTTTTTTCACACCTTTGATAGAATTGGTTTACAATTTTTAGAATGTTATTTAGTAGGAAGACAAATTCAAATATTTTATTAAAGAAATATTCATTGAGGGCTTACACTGTGTCAGGCATGGTTCTAGTTACTGGGAATACATCAGTGAACAGTAAGAGACAAAAATTTATATACTCCTAGAGCTTACATTTTAGTTGAGGGGGGGAGACAGATCAAAAAAAGAAATGAACAAAATATATAATATTAAACAAGTATTGTGGAGAAAAATTTAGCTAGGGAGTGCCAGAAGAGTGTAGGTAGGCTCACACTGTTAAATAGGCCAGGGGACGCCTCAATAAGAAGATAGCATTTGCACAAAACGCTGCAAAAGGTTAAGGTAGTGAGCCATTTGAATATCTGGGGGGCACAGGTTCCTGGCAGGTATGATAACCTCCAGTTACACACATGGGTGGTGTATGTGTGTCTGATGCATTTGTTTTCTTTTTTTAAGGTGCAAGAATTATTTATCCGTGGTTATGGAGAAATTTTTAATGTCCAATTACCTGGTGAAGAAGAACGAACAAAATTTTTTGAAGACTTAATTCTAAAACAAGCTGCTAAGCCTCCTATATCAAAGAAGAAAGCGGGTTAGTTCCTATATCAAGGTTAATAATTTTGAGAGAGTGGGAATAAAATCTCAGTTTATGGCATTTTGCCATGTATCTAACACGCAGCCCCCCCCCCTTTCTTTACAAAGAACTCTTAATCTTTTAACTATACACAACATAATTTCTGTCCTTTTCACAATTCATTCATGCTTGCTTCTCTTCCCATCTTGAAGGAACTAATCATCCTGCTAGTATAACTTAGATAATTTCTTTATAATGAAATATTCCCTAATATACCTAGGCAAAATTCATTGTTACTACCTTATGACCCATTGTGCTTTCTTCATACTAGTAATATGATATTATGATGATGTTATAATTGTGTCTCTTACTGCCTGAAGAGATTACCAGCTTATTTGGTAGCATTGTCACATTCCTCTTTGTATCCTGAGTACTCAGTGCATATCTGTTTAAGCAAAATTGAACTTTTGTGATATGTATGATGTATCACAGGTTTTCAATAATTCAAAAATTAACTAGTAACAAAGACATTTTTAATAGTTTGAATATTCTTGTCCTATAAATAATGCTTTTTTCAAAGTCTTAATCGCCTCTTAGGTAATCTTGAAATGCAACAGAGGTAATGACTTTCAGGAAGTAGCATTTCAGGTTACAAGTTACCAGTCATTTCTGAAGGGGATGTGGGGTTAGATATTATGGTAGCACTTTAGTATTCCAAATCCTTAGGTTTCTGGCAGATATGTAAGGAGGATAATCCTTCAAAAGCTGACAACTATTTGCACTGAATCACTTTGTCACCCTGATGCTATAGAAGAGCGTGAACTAAAATCTTCTCTTCCTGTGAAGTTTTGCAGGCATTGGAGGTACTCCCAGTAGCACCACCACCTGAACCAAGGCCACTGACAGTAGAAGAAGTGAAACGGCTAGAAGAACAAGAAGAAGATACATTCAGAGAACTGAGAATTTTCTTAAGAAACGTTACACATAGGCTTGCTATTGACAAGCGATTCCGAGTATTTACTAAGCCTGTTGACCCTGATGAGGTATTAATCTTTATATTAAGTATGTTCTAAGCAATAATGTTTCAAAATTAGTGAATATTTGAAAAGCTTATGTCATTCCCTGCCTACACTCTGAGCTTGTTTTCTCTCGACAGAAACATATACCAAGTAGTATCCTAATCATGTGGAGAATTAAAGAGCTATATAACACACATTTTCCTTTCCTGCAGAGAATACAGTTAACTTTGTCTGCCCAACCCAGACTTTCTAGAAGCAATTTGAGAATGTCTTAATGCCACATGATATTACTGTGACCTGTTGGAGTGAGCTGGAATATTTGAAGAAGACTTTCAATGAAAAAGAGCCAGGACTTAAGCTGACATTGAAGGATGGGTGGCATTTGGATGAGGAAAGAGGTATAGGATATTACTGGGGATAGAGGTAGCTGCCCAAGAATAGGAATAAATACAAAACAAAACCACCCTTAAGTTGAGTCAAAGATTTCATATGAATATGTTATCATTACCTCTACGTATCTATTCTTTCTCTCCTACGTTGCTCGGCACAGAAACTTCACTGAAATGTACCTTATGTTCAGAGTTAATTTAATGATTTGATCGCTTGCTTGAATTTTAGGTTCCTGATTATGTCACTGTCATAAAGCAGCCAATGGACCTTTCATCTGTAATCAGTAAAATTGATCTACACAAGTATCTGACTGTGAAAGACTATCTGAGTGATATTGATCTAATCTGTAGTAATGCTCTAGAATACAATCCAGATCGAGATCCTGGAGGTGAGCATTAGTGGGAGTTTCTCAGGGGGTGGCATCAGGGCAGCTAAATCCTCACAATAGCCTTACCCCCATTTTACAGATGAGCAAAATGAAGTTTAGAGAAGTTAAAAAACTTCTAGTAAGTGGCAAAGGCAAAATTTGAATGCAAGTTTTTCTCACTGCACAATCCCGGTGCTTATTAACAGCTACGTGATACACCCTCTAATGAGACACAAAGTTGTACAACAACTTAGCTTGTTTCCTTTGTATCTCAGTGCTCTTTCTCAAAGTGGGAAAACAAACACTCAGTACTAAAATAGGTTTAAGTTTTCTTAGTTTAAGTCCGTTACATCTTTTATTACAAAAGTAACATAATACTTGCTAATAGAAATATATTTTTTAAAAAAATCTCCCATATCCTTTCTCCAAAGGCGGATACTGTTAAGTTTTGAGATATCTTTTGAGATCTTTTTCTATTCGTATACCCTCTCCACCTTCGTCTATATCCTCTATTAATAAAAACTTATAAAATAAGGGATTTTTTAATGGTATATTTGTTCTACAGCTTGTTCATTTCCAAGATATGTTTTTCTTCCTCAGGTGCTACTTTTTCCTAGCTTTCTTTTCTTGTTTTATAGATGTTTTTTAATAGTTCTAGTTTTTCTCAAGTACATTGAGGAGCACCTAGTGAGAGCTTCTTCACCGGTTAAAAAGGTCACTGTTCTGCCCCACCCAGGTCCTCTATCCTACATTCCCTAGGCACTTGTAAGTTCAGAGTTCTGGAGGTGAGCAGTGGGAAAGCAAGACTGGAACATCTCTTCGTTGTAGAAAGAAGGAAGCAGTTACCCTGGAGGCAGAGAGGGTTTTGTTGCAATCATGCTGCTGCCGCTGCTTCTCTTTCTGTCCATTGTGGCAATCTAAAATTACTTTAGACCAGTGGTGTCCACACTTTACTGGGCATCAGAATCACCTAAAGGACTTGTTAAAATACAGATTGTTGGGCCCCATCTCTGAGGTTTCTGATTCTGTAGAACTAGGATGGGGCCTGAGAATTCGCATGTCTAAAAAGTTCCCGGTGATGCTGCTGGTCCAGGGACTATACTTTGAGAACTACTGCTTTAGACTTGGCCCTGCCCCTTTCTTCAAGCCCAAATGCCACGTTAAAAGCCCCCCTGCAACATCCCTTCTGAGAGCTCTATCTGTCACTGTAACCTGGGAGTGAATATTGCAGCCTCCTGTCCTGTGAAGGGGCCTGATCGAGCAGTTTAAGCAATCTTGCATTCACTTATCACCTGTCTTCTGCCTTGAAGCATATTCTAGCTGTCAGGGCCTGGACTCAGAGCATAGGACTTTTCCCCAGTGTTTCCTGGATAGGGTTGCTGTTTCATTGTGTGTGTTCAGCTTCTCTGTCGATGCAGTAACATTTTATATCTCTCTTCCAGAAATGCATTTACATTTCTGGTTCACTAATGACACTGATGGCCTTCCCTGTGTCGTTTAGTCTTGCCACTGATTGATGCCTATACTTTTTTTTTTTTTTTTTTTTTTGTTATTTGAAATTGATCTGGATAGGACGGAGCAATAAAATTGTTTGAGTTTAGCCCGCCATATTAATTGTATCTCCAGAACATTAAATTAAGATCAAAAATAAAGTAACAGAATTCGAGTAACTTCCACTATTCATAGTAAGAGTAAAAAGGAATTGTAATGACTACATTCCTAGCCCAACATGTTGAGTTTATTTTTGGTAAATTATTAAAAGGGGAAAATTAAGTATTGTATTTTCTATTCATTTTTCAGATCGTCTTATTAGGCATAGAGCCTGTGCGTTAAGAGATACTGCCTATGCAATAATTAAAGAAGAACTTGATGAAGACTTTGAACGCCTTTGTGAAGAAATTCAGGAATCTAGAAAGAAGAGAGGTAGGAAAATGATTTGGCATCAAACATAGATGTTTCAGGTGTAATGTACTGAGTCCTTTTAATTAATCTTTCATGTAATTTTGAAATCTGGAAATCCTCTTTGACATCACATATATCTTACTTAAAAGGTTGTAGCTCTTCCAAATATGCCCCATCTTATTACCATGTGATGCCAAAGCAAAATTCCGCTCCTGCTGGTGATAAGAGATCAGACCCAGAGCAGAATGAAAAGCTAAAGATGTCCAGCACTCCTGTGGCTTGCAGCACCCCTGGTAAGTGTGTGTGGACAGTTTTTATTTATGAAGTTGTGACCTTTGTTCTCTTCTGGTCGCGTTTACTTTCCCCCTCAGTTTCCTTTATTTCTATTAATGTAGTGGATTACATTGGTTTTTCTAATGGTAAGCCAACTTTTCGTTCTTGAAATCAAGTTTCTAACAGGACTACTATTGCAGTTGGGTTATCTGCCTCTAGTCTAGGCAGAATATTTAATAACCTCTGTACCGTAGTTTCCTTGTCGGTAGGTACAATGGTGATGACAATGGTAGCAAACCTCATTGGGTTAAAGTGAAATTTAAGTGAGTTAGTACACATAAATGGCTCAGAAGAGTTCTGGTGTATGGTAAGCACTCGATAAGTGTAAGCTATTATTAGTCTAGCCCTTCTCCTAACTCATTGCTCATACTGCTGCCAAAGTAATCTTTTTAAAATACGCATCGACGGATCCCATTATTGCCTTCCTTAAAATTACTTCAGATAAAATCATTTTATGACCTGAGCCTTGCCTACTTCTCCAACTTCTCACAGTACCCAACTTTTGTTTCTCTGTTCCAGTCATACAGAACTACTCTGGCTACTCAAACCCTCTACTTCTTCCTCAGTGCCGCCCCCTCCCCACCCACCCCCAACACACACACACTCACTTAGAGTTTAGAAAATTGTTCAATGTTCTTTTATTTTTTTTTCTTTAAATTCTTTGAAGCTCAACTGAAGAGAAAAATTCGCAAAAAGTCTAAATGGTACTTAGGTACCATAAAAAAAAGAAGGAAGATTTCACAGGCAAGAGATGATAGCCAAAATGCAGTGGATGACAAAATTGAGAGTGATACAGAGGAAAATCAAGATACAAGTGTAGACCATAATGAGACTGGAAACACGGGAGATTCTTCAATGGAAGAAAACGAGAAGCAGCAGAATGTCTCTGAAAGCAAGATGAAGTTGGGAAGTACTAACTCTAGTAATTGTAGTATTGAGAATGAACTGGAAGAATCTAGGAAGAGTATGACGTGTACAGAATTGAGAAAAGATAACACTGCTTGCAGTGGCGATACTTCTGGCTCTCAGATAATAGATAATTTGGATGAAAATGAAGCAAACGGTAAGCCTTACTCAAAAAGTAACTTACTAATTTTAAAAGGTTTGTCACTTTGAGTTCCTAAGTGACTAATTACCATATCAATTTATTACATTTCCCACTTCTTTCAGAGTGCAGGTATTAATTAATTTGAATAAAATAGCATTATCTTTACTTAATAACTGCTGAGCTAGTAAATCACTGTTGTTAAAAGCACAGACTTTGTCTCGGGGAACATCTAGCTCAATTGGCATAACACAGTTTATAAAGACAATGTTCTACATTCTACCTTGGTGAGTAGCGTCTGGGGTCTTAAAAGCCTGTGAGCAGCCATCTAAGATACTCCACTGGTCTTATCCCTTCAGGAGCAAGGGAGAATGAAGAGAACAGGATACAAGGAAAAAATTAGTCCGAAGGACTAATGGACCACAACTACCAAGGCCTCCACCAGACTGAGTCCAATATAGCTAGATGGTGCTCGGCTACCACTACTGACTGCTCTGACCAGGATCACAACAGAGGGTTCTGGACAGAGCTGGAAAAGGATGTAGAGCATAATTCTAACGCACACACAAAAAAAAAAAAACAGATTTACTGGCCTAAAGGAGACTGGAGAAACCTCCAGAGTATGGCCCCCAGACACCCTTTTAGCTCAGTGGTGAAGTTACCTCCGAGGTTCACCATTCAGCCTGGGAGTGGACAGCCCCGTAAAACCAAATGAGACTAACGAGGTACAGGAGTCCAGTGACAAGGGCCAGAGGCAGAAGGGGACAAGGAAGCTGGTGATAGGGAACCCAAGCGTGAGTAAGGATATTGTTGATGTGTTGTGAGATTGTTAACCATTGTCATAGGGCAACATTTGTAGTAACTGTTAAATGAGAAACTATTTTGTTCTGTAAGCCTTCATCTTAAGTGAGAATAGCAGCACAATTGGAAGAGTGTGGTCAGTGTCACTGAACTGTGCATGCAGAGATTTTTGAAATAGTGTATTTTTGGCTGTGTGTATTTTCACAAAAAAAAAAAAGGTCAAGAAGGGAGAGGGTTGACATGTTGTGGGGTTGTTAACCAGTGTCATAAAACAATATGTGTACTACTGTTTCATGAGAAACTATTTGTTCTGTAAGCCTTCACCTGAAGTACAATTTTAAAAAAAGAAAGAAAAGGAAAAAAAAGCACAGACTCTGTCATCAAGCAGACCTAGATTTGAGCATTTAGTCTACCACTTAGTAGCTTGTGACCTTGGGCAAGTTACTTAAGCTGTCAGTCTCAGTTTTCTCATCTGCAGCATTAGGGTAGATAGTTCCTGGGTGTTGAGATATTTTGAGGAATGAATAAAAGAATCCATCTAAAGCATCTAAATACTGCTGGCTGTGCAGCTTTAAAAAGCTGACGGGATACCCTCCTCATTTCTAAGCAAGATAAGCAGTTCCCTGTGATTCTTACTAAGTAGAGCAACTATTACCCACGCCCATCCCTATTGTAGGTTGTTAAGTCCGGGATTCTTTGTACTCACTCAGTGGTCCTACTCTCCAAATTTTTCATTTAAAATTGTTGTCTACCTGCATCTCCTCGAACATTTGATAACGGGTTTATTTGGTTTTTTGAAAAGCCAACATCATTTAGAGCCAAGTCATACAAAGTGAAACTGTAGGTAACAAGGCCAAAAATTAATTTTGGTTGAAAACAAGCATTTACTGTAAGTTAATGAGACTGGTTTCTTCAGTGGCTTGTATGCTAATTCTGAAGTGGCTTCCTTGAAATGAGTTTCAGTGTGTTTGAGTAATCATAGGAAAAAATTAGCTGGGTTATTGCTTTTCGGGTGTAGATATTTTAGTTGTTCATCCTCTAGAAGTGTAATTTAGTATGTTTGTTTGGAGTTGAAGTTGCTTTACTTTCCTTTTGTCATTTTGTTTTTTTTTTTTAAGGCACTATATAGTTAGATGAGTACTTGCTTAGATATCAAGAAGTGTGGGCTCTTGTTTTAGCTCTGGTAATAATTATGTATGTGACCCTAGGAAAAAGTCCCTTCATTTCTCTTGGCCTCATTTTTCTCACCTATGAGTGAGTAGATTGTTCTAGATCAGTGATCAACAAACTTTTCCTATGGAGGGCCAGATAGCAAATATTTTAGGCTTGGTGAGCCACATGATCTCCGTTACAACTGGTCAATCTTGCCATGAAAGCAACCATTGATGGTATGTAAAATGGGTGGCTGCATTCTAGTAGAACTTTTCATTATAGCAGTGGGCCAAGTTTGGCCCACAGGTGGTAGTTTGCAATCCCTGTTCTAGATTACTGAGGTCTCTTTCAGCCCTTGAATTCTGTGAGTCTTGTGCCTAAATAGAAACCCAACCAAACCTTCTGCCATGGAGTTGATTCTGACTCATAGCGACACTATAGGACAGAGCAGAACTGCCCCATAGGGTTTCCAAGGCTGTAAGTCTTTATGGAAGCAGACTGCCACATTTTTCTTCCATGGAACGGTGAATGGGTTTGAACCACCAAACTTTTGATTAGCAGCCAAATGCTTTAACCTCCTAAGCAGAAGACAGTCTAAATCTGTTGAGGATTCGCCTGAAATACCCAGTTTGAAAAATGATTCTCAGAATGTCTTTAGTTTTTGAGTATTGGTAAGTAACAGCATCTTAATAGCAGAAAGAGTTAATAAGCCAAAATTCGTGTTTGAGTCTTCATAAATGTGCCCTGTTATTTAATCTGCCCAATGTTTATTTTAAGGAGCCCTGATGGTGCAGTGGTTAACTGCTCGGCTGCTAACCGAAAGGTGAGCGGTTCAAACCTGCCAGCCACTCCGCAGGAGACAGATGTGACAGTCTGCTTCTGAAAAAATTACAGCCTTAGTAGCCCTATAGGGCAGTTCTACTCTGTCCTGTTGGGTCACTGTGAGTCAGAGTGGACTCGACGGCAATAGGTTTTTTAGGTTTAATATTTATTTTAGAAATTAAAATGTCTGTGGAGCAAATAATAGTTATTTAATTTTTTGTTCTAGAAATGTGTGTTCTGCGAATGACTCGAGCTAGACGTTCCCAAGTAGAGCAACAGCAGCTCATCAGTGCTGAAAAGGCTTTGGCAATTCTTTCTCAGCCTACACCCTCACTTGTTGTGGACCATGAGCGATTAAAAGTATGTATGTGGAAATCGTAATGCCTTCAGTGTGCAGCTTGGCAATCCCCAAACACTGGATTGTGGACTAGTGGCGGGTGGCTGCATAAGAATGAAGCAGAATTAGAGAAAACCAGAAAACCAAACTCATTACGGTTGAGTTGATTCGGAGTAGCAACAACTGTGAAGCCCCACAGGGAGCCCAGGGGAAAGGGAAGAGCCAGCTGCAGCATGCTGTATCTGTTCTTGCCCTGTGGACACGTCGCTCCATTAGATCTGCACCCTTGGCTAAATTAATGTGAAACTTAACAGTGTGCATTTGAGTGTGTGCATGTGTATGTGTGTGCACAAAAAAAAAAAAGAACGAAGCAGAAAGTAAAACCTTTTCTTCCTCCCAGCTTCCCTTTAGTGCTTCTCCCTAGCCTACTCCCCTCTCAGATACAAACTTAGATCTGAGGATCTGTGGTGGGAACCAGAGGGAAAACAGCTAAGTGATTCTGATATGCAACCAGATTACTTTCTTTTATCCCCCCACCCATTCATTCCCCCTCAATGGGCTTTCATTCTCACTATAATAAAATAACATGAATGACATGATCCTAATAGCTAATAGTATTTATCTTCATTAAACGGAATGTTTTCTGCCTTATATGTAAAACTTGGCACTATATTGATAACTCTTTCCTTGCCTTTTGTGTCCTTAAGCCATCCTTGTCTCTTTGTAAGCGCCTCAAGGTTTTTCTCTCCATTCTCTCTGTTCTTTGTTCTTTTGGAATAGACATCACCTTTGTAAGATGATGCCACATCTGGAAATCTCCATCCTGACACCCCTAAAAAACAACTCTGTCTCCCCAACTAACAATTTGCATGTCTTGCAATTGCCTGAACGTATCTGAAATAAGACTGCCCACTTTTTGCCCTTTAAAAGAAAAAAATTTGTCTCCCAATTCCAATTTACCTGTTTTATTTTGGCTGCATTCCAAGTCTGAGAACGTTGAGATCTTTTTGATATATAGCTACCTCATGCCAAAGAGTCAAAGATGAATTATTTGTACAGATAAGTTTTAACATTTTTAAAGGGATGCCTGCTTTGTGTAAGTACAAGGTGAACTTGCTAGTAGCTCAGGAAAGTCATTCTCTTTTGAACGTAGCAGAGCTACTAAGAATTTGATGTCTGTACTTATTAAAGAAGGAGACAGCGATCATCCTGAAGCAATTTCTCCAAAAAACTTAAATCTCCCTAAAAAATATCTTTAAAAATATGTATGAAACTCAAAAGCCCTTGTGAGTCTTGTGACCGTGATAATGGTATTCCTAATACTGAATGGGAACTTAGTATAGTACACCATGCTTCAATAGGATGTTGGTGGAGCGGGAATGTTGGCAATTATTGCTCTACTTAATTTTTATAAATTTTACAGCTTTGTTCTGCTCAGTATCCAAGTGTATCACTTAGAGTCAATGATAAAGCCATTTATTGAGACCATTTCAGCTTGTACTTTTTCTAGCCCACCAAAAGAGATACTATGTAATAGTGCAGTGTATCAGTAAGACATGCAATAAATAATGACCTTTTATGAAAAGATAAACTTGCTATAGAAAAAATTCCATAATACGGTGGTTGGAGATGACTGATGTGCTGATAATATAGTTTTCAACATACCTGTGTAAATCATTGGTCTCATGCGTTGTTTTTATGACCATTACCTCTGACCATTATAGGTGGTTTTCATTTAACCATAATGGTGTATTTCTGTGGACTATGAGGTAGTGATATATCCTGGTGGGGCCAGACTTGAGGAATCACAGAAATCCAGTGAGTCCACCAACTTGGTCATGAGAAAAAACACGGAGCAGATGAAAAATCTTTTTTATAAGAAAAAACCCTGAAGTGGTGAGGCAGTTCACCGTTTATATAGGAGTTCTTTTTGTTTCACATTAACGGAATTATAATGTACTTGTAGTGCTATGAAATACCCTGTAAAAACCTTGGGTTTTTTTTTTTTTTTTCCTTTTAATATTACTTGAGATTAATTGTCCAGAGAGGTTTATGGCTAGAATTGAAATTGGCAAACTCCTCAGCCGTAGTTTTTAGAATGGGAATTACTCAGGGCAGAGACCAGGATCACAGGGTGATGGTAAAGTTATCTAACTACAGCTAAGTGTCAGAACTACTGCCAGGGGCTGCCATGCCTTTTCAGATGACTTGTCTGACCTCTCTTTGGCTCACAATCCTCCCGCCTAGCTCCTCAAAATTCAAATACCTTGTCTAGGGGAGTTTCTCTCTCATTCATATAAACCCTCATATTTTCTTTTAGAATCTTTTGAAGATGGTTGTTCAAAAAAGTCAAAAATACAATATATTTCAGTTGGAAAATTTGTATGCTGTAATCAGCCAGTGTATTTATCAGCATCGCAGGGACTATGACAAGACAACGCTTATTCAGGTAAAGTATTGATTTGTAACTTTTTTTAATGCTGTAATTGTCACGTAATATATCACTGATTATATAAAGTTGCTGAGGCTTTATTTAATCTATATGAAAAACTAACTGATGATAACTTAGACCATTTTTTAATATGTGGATTATGATTTATTAATAGTACAAATGCGTTCTGTATTTTTTAATCTACACTTCATTAATCCATGTCTTTAATAAACAATGGAACTATAGTATCAGCAGACTGTGAAAAAGATGTTTTTTGTCTGTATGTATTAACAGTAAGGATATGTAGCTCCTTTAATAGACTTTTCAGATAGATTACTTGTCTTTACTTAATCTCGCTATACAGTGGACATTAAAGGCTAACTTTTAAAAGTAGATATTGGCTTGATGATACTGGTACCTACAAAGTATAAAATATTAATATCTAATAAGTACACCAGTACCTTGACTATAACTATTTGAATTTAACATAAGATGATCCCGGGCTTTGAACCGGTTCAAACCCCTGCTGAGAAATTTGCATTTCTAACAAGTTCCCAGTCCATGCTAATGATTCCACCCCTATATTTTAAACAAGATCCCAGGTTCAGAGAATCACCTGGGGATCTTGTTAAACTACAGACTCTGATTCACTATATCTGAATGGAATCATTAGCATCGGCTGGGAACTTGCCAATGGAAAATGCAAATTTCTCAGTAGGGGTTCCATCCGGAATGAACCCAGTGGAAACCCTGAGATGAAACTACCTCGGACTCATTTTAAACAGATTTAAATAATGAAGCTCCGTCAGGGATAGCAGTTTACCGGACAGTCTTATAAATATTGAACTAGATTTTTCTTCATCAATATGTACACGAATATTAATATCCTAAAGGAAGTTTGCTTAAGAAACAGTAATGAAGTAATATTTCTTTAGCTTTTTCATATTAAAACTTACTATTTTTTCCTTCCTACCCTTCATCTAGAAAATGGAGCAAGAAATAAAAAAGTTCAATTGTTCCAGATCGTGATGTCTTCATGGTATCTCATTTTCTTTCTATTCAATTCCTATTTAATTCACTTTTGATGAAATCCTACATCTTTGACGAAAAGTTTAAAATAGTAAAATTAAAGTATTTAAACTGTCCTGGTATTTATGTACATGTGTAAGATAAATTACAGAGATAACTGACAAATATTGGAAGTTTGATTAAACAAGACATTGTAGTAATATTAATGCTGTGGCATATCAGTAGCTGAAGTGTGGCCAACTCTTAATAAAGTTGTTTTGATAACTAATGTTTTATGATACTTAAGAGTAATTAGTGCTATTGAATTTTTCTTGTTGTAAGCACTTCTAATTTTATCCTTCTGAAAATTACTTTATTGAATCAGACTACAAGCTTACTTAACTGTTGTGTCTTTGCCTTCTTTTCTATCATCTTTTGATTTTTTTTTTTCTTTTTAATGCTTTTCTCTCATCTGCTTTATATTTTCCCCTGTTCATTCACTTAAGAGTCAGTGTTCAATTCATGATTTGTGGGAGGGCCCTTGAACAACTTCTGGCTACACCATAATTCTGTACTTGAACATAAAAATGAATCCTTTTTAGATAAACATTTTGTAATGCTAATTTGGGTTAATAAAGATTTTAAATATTTTTCCGCTTTTATGACTATATACATAACAAATATTGTTAAACATCTCTTTCGTAGCACAAAGTTTTGATATTTGAAAACTGCTTACATCCTTCTAAAATTGTATATAGGCTGTATCCTACAGATACCTTTTATATGCAAGTGTATAAATATAAATATTATATATTTTGTATTAATGAAACCAAAAATACATTTCTTTTTTAAAGTAATAAAGGCATTCGCCACTATGCTTCTTTTTCCTTTTAAAGAGACAGTCTAATACTGGTTTCTAAAGCTTCTATTAGAAACCTTTTTCAAGGGGAATGGGGTTGAAAATCTAAATGAGATATTCTGGGACTCTTTAGTACAATTTTGAATTGAGCCACCTTTGTACCTGATTTATCTGGATATTATATTTAAAGCCTTCTAAAAAGCATCATTTAGTATCAACTTTAATTAGTAGATACTGTCTTATGTAATACAACACAATCATCATAAAGCATTGCCAGTCACTGAAAACACTTAAATATGTGTATATTTCTTGGTATAAATACTTCTATTGAAGTTTATGATAACTTATTATTCTTACAGATGCTTCTGTTATAACTAGGATTTCATTTTATATGTATACCTTGTGTAATAAATTTTAAAGATGAAAATTTCCTCTCAATTTTGTTTCTATTTCTTTAGTATTTGAAAACATCCTAAAGATAATTCTGTGATTACAAGAGAGCAAAATCTGTTTCTTCATATATTACTATGCATAATTAAAGATACTGACATTGGGATCTTTATATGGTACATGATCTTTGGCTGCAAAGACTATCGTTCTTCCTGCCCTTTCAGGACACACTGCCTGCAGATTCAGGAAATGACAGACCCAGACCGCTATGTAGACCTTTAGAACTGCTGAAACTGCAAGCCTAGAATGTTTTTCTTAATTTTTGCTCCAAAGTACAGTCAGCTCTTCTCATTTTCCTTTGGGTACTTTGTATCCCTCTATATTACCAGGCATCTTAGTCATCTAGTGCTGCTATAACAGAAATACCACAAGTGAATGGTTTTAACAAAGAGAAATTTATTTTCTCACAGTCTAGGAGGCTAGAAGTCCAAATTCAGGGCATCAGCCCCAGGGGGAGGCTTTCTTTCTCCGTCAGCTCTGGAGGAAGGTCCTTCTTCTCAATCTTCCCTGGACTAGGAGCTTCTCCATGCAGGAACCCTGGGTCCAAAGGATGCACTCTGCTCCCGCCGTGGCTTTCTTGGTGGTATGAGGTCCCCCTGTCTCTCTGCTCACTTCTCTTTTATATCTCGAAAGAGATTGCCTCAAGACACAATCCAATCTTGTAGACTGAGTCCTGTCTCATTAACATAACTACCGCCTAGCCCACCTCACCTCATTAACATCACAGAAGTAGAATTTACAACACATAGGAAAATCACATCAATCACAAAATGAAGGACAACCACACAATACTGGGAGTCATGGCTTAACGAAGTTCACACATATTTTTGGGTGACACAATTCAATCTGTGATACCAGGTGATAAGGCATTGGTGATTCCGTGGTAGAATTCTCACCTTCCATGCAGGAAACTCAGGTTCGATTCCCAGCTGGTGCACCTCATGCACAGCCACTACCTGTCTTTCAGTGGTGGATTGCATGTTGCTATGATGCCGAACAGGTTTCAGCAGAGCCTCCAGACCAAGATGGACTAGAAAGAAAGGCCTGGTAGTCTACTTCCAAAAATCAGCCAATGAAAATTCTATGGATCACAACAATCTGATCTGCAACAGATCATGAAGGTGGTGCAGTGTTTTGTTCCATTGTGCATGGGGTCGCCATGAACCAAGAGCTGACTTGATGGCAGCTAACAACAACACATTACCAGGAACTGTGATGAAACTGATTAAATTGTGAAATTTTTAGTACTAAGATATATACAAATCAGAGATACCTAATCAATTCCTTTCAGATATTTGTCTTGTGCTTTATATATATATATATCCAGATTAGTGTAGAATTAAATTAGTAGTCATTTTTTAGCATTTAAAATTATATTCTTCATATAAGCAATCTTTGTACATTCTTAAAGTTAAAAATATTCATGAGCAATAAATAATAATCTTACATCCTAGAGGTTCACTGTTAACGCCTTGGTGTATGCCCTTCTAGACTTTTATGCATATGTATCTATGCATATATGTACACTGGTACATTGCACTGGTGAGATTATGTTGATTGTACCTAGTGAGAAAGAAGTAGCAACTACACTAGACTTACTGGTAAAACATATGTGTGTCAGAGGGTGGAAAATAAATGACAAAAATTTAGGAGTCTTACAGTGAAATTCTAGGGGTCCAGTGGTGTGGGGCACGTCGAGGTGTCCCTTCTAAGGTGAAGGATAAGTTATTGCATCTGGTCCCTCCTACAACCAAAAGAAGAGGCATAATGCCTAATGGACTTCGTTGGATTTTGGAGGCAAAATATTCCTCCAGCCCATTTTCCTGCAAGAGCCAGCATATGCAAGTGCACAGGGTGGCCAGAGCGAGGACACAGGGTCCGCTACTGGCCACCAGAGGTCAGAAGCTGTGCTGGCCTGTGGGGTTTGGAGCTGAGGGAGAGCTAGGGCACGTCGGGCAAGGGAGGACAGAGAAGAGGGCAGATGACGAAGAAGGCCTCTAATGGGAAAGCAAGGTGGAAAGGTTTGTATTGGCAGAGGCAGCAGGGCAGGTGGTGTGCTGGGCAAGCGAGCATTGGAAAAAGCAGCTGGCATAATAAAATGGTGAATGTATGTAAAACGGTATCTTATTGTGCCCTTGATTCCATTTGCCCAATCACTGATGATTGTGAACATCTCTATGTGTTTATGGGTCACATGTAATTCCTCTGGGAAAACTTGTTTATGTCTACATCATACCACTATCATTTAGCATTGTAACAAGATTTAAATGTTTTTTTCCTCTAGGAATCTGTAAGGTCATAAAGATAAGGAGCATGTCTTTGTATCCGTAGTAACATAGTTTAAAAAAGAAAAACAACCCACTGCCGTGGGTTTGACTCTGACTCATAGCAACCATATAGGACAGAGTAGAACTGCTCCATAGAATTTCCAAGGAGCGCCTGGTGGGTTTGAACTGCCAACCTTTTGGTTAGCAGCTGTAGCACTTAACCACTATGCCACCAGGGTTTCCAAGTAACATAGTTAAGCGCTCAATAAATATTTGTTGAATAATTGAATGAATTCTAGAGGCAAATGTTAGAACCAAAGTTACAATCAGCAAAAGACTGGAGGAGTTACAATTGGAAGTAATGCTGGTGAGAAAGAACAACCCATTTTAAGTCCCTCCTTTTGAGATGGGTCTTCTTCAGAAGATGAGAGGGCGTCATCTGAATGTAAGATGTAGGAGATGAAAGAGGTTCTGAATCAATTTAATATGAAGGAGAAATTTCTCACCTTGTAGTAGGAGTGCTACAAGTTTCAAAGCAAAAGGAAGGAGAATGTCTTTTGCCTTTTGGAGGTTTTGGTCAGGGAAAAGAAGACAATGAACGAACTAAGGCATAGCAGGCTGCAAAGCACTTCTCCAGACTACTATTGAGGGAACCAGTGTGGATTACACTTCAACATAAAGAAAACAAAAATCCTCACAATTGGACCAATAAGCAACATCATGATAAACGGAGAAAAGACTGAAGTTGTCAAGGATTTCATTTTACTTGGATCCACAATCAACACCTGTGGAAGCAGCAGTCAAGAAATCAAAAGACACGTTGTACTGGGCAAATCTGCTGTAAAAGACCTCTTTAAAATGTTAAAAACCAAATATGTCACCTTGAAGACTAAGAGGCACCTAACCCAAGCCATGATGTTTTCAGTAGCCTCATATATATGCAAAAGCTGGATGATGAATAAGGAAGACCGAAGAAAATTGGACACCTTTGAATTGTGTTATTGGTGAAGAATATTGAATATACCATGGACTGCCAAAAGAATGAATAAATCTGTCTTGCAAGAAGTACAACCAAAATGCTCCTTAGAAGCAAGGATAGCAAGACTGCATCTCACATACTTTGGACATGTTATCAGGAGGGACCAGTCCCTGGAGAAGGACATCGTGCTTGGTAAAGTAGAGGGTCAGTGAAAAAGAGGAAGACCCTCAGTGAGATAGATTGACACAGTGGCTGCAACAACGGGCTCAAGCATAACAACGATTGTGAGGATGGCACAGGACTGGGCAGTGTTTTGTTCTGTTGTGTATAGGGTCACTATGAGTTGGAACTGACTTGACAGCACCTAACAACAACAACAATAGTGACTACCATGTTGGTGAATCAGATGTGCACTTCTTGGTCATTTTCATAAACTACCATCAGCGTCATTCCATGCAATACAGCACTCCTTCTTGAAGCTTTTTTTTTCCTCCTGCCTGCTGTGACACTACACATTTGGTTTTCCCTCAAGATTCAAGGGCTGCGGTTTTTTTCCCCCACCTTTCTGTTGGCCTCCCTTCTCTACCCTTAGTCTTCATGTTGGAATTCCCCAGAGCTTGAGCCTAGGTCCAGGTGAGGTGTTTTGTTTTTTACAGGTTCTGGAACAAGCACAAAATACCAGAAAACGCTATATTTATATATAAATGGTGGCAAAAGAAGAGAGCAGCCATCAGTTAGTTAAATTGTTCGGTTAAGAACAGGTAGGTTGTATTGGTTAAGGTTTTTTGGTTGCAAGCAACAGAAATTCTGGCTAGCTTTAGCAAAAGGTTCAGTTTTGAAAGGATGTAAGGTACTTCAGAAGGTTGAAACAACCAGAAGTCAATGAACCAACGTTTATTGCAGCACTATTCACAATAGCCAAAAGGTGGAGAAACCTAAATGTCCATCAACAGATGAATGGATAAACAAAATGTGATACATACAATCGAGTATTACTCATCCACAGAGAGAAATGAAGTCCTAATACATGCTCCTACATGGATGAATCTTGAAAATATTATGCTGAGTAAAATAAGTCAGTCACAAAAGGACAAATATTGTATGATCCCTCTTGTATGAGGAGCGGTGGTGACACAGCGGTTAAGAGCTATGGCTGCTAACCAAAAGGTCGGCAGTTCTAACCCACCAGCAGTTCCTTGGAAACCCTATGGGGCAGCTCTACTCTGTCCTCTAGGGTTCCTATGATTCAGAATCGACGAGATCGCAACAGGTTTGTTTTTGGTTCCCTTATATGAAATGTCTAGAAGAGGCGAGAGGAAGGGGAAAAGAGGGAGTCATTTCTTGGGGGAGCGCTGAGCATCTGTTATGGGTGGTGGAAAACCTTGGAAACTAATAGTGGTGATGGTTGCACAACATGATGAAAGTAATGTCACCTAATTGTACATGTAAAAAATGTTGAAATGGCAAAATTTTTATTACGTATGTACTCACCACACATCCAAAAATAATTGTTTTAAGTCAATGGAAGGGCAGCTACAAGTCCTTGGCAGAAGTTCTTAAAATAGTTACCATTAATGTGAGTCAGCAAAGACAGACACCTGGGCTCAGTAATTGTCTGTTCTAGATTTCAAAGTCTCGAAAAAAAGATTTGGATTGGTCCTAATGTCCACCCTAGACAGCCAGAGGCCGGGATCACATAATTTAGACATCACTACCAGAAA